GCGGTTTTTGTTTTTTTTTTTATTGCTTTGTGTGTCTGGTTTTTTCCTGGTTTATTGTTTTTTTTTTTGTTTTTAAATATTTTTTTTTTTTTTTTTAAACAAAAAAAAAAAAAAAAAAAAAAAAAAAAAAAAAAAAAAAAGATTTTATAGTGGATGAGCTTTCTTGGAATCGCCGGTTTGTAATAGCTTCTTCATACTATGCTACCGTACACTCAGACACTACTGTAGTAGGTATGAGCTAGTTTACTACTACTTGTTACTAGTTACTCATTCTCGAGTGGCAATGATCTACAGAATACCTCCTAAGTTATCCCCTATTACAAATCTTTTTTTTTTTTTTTTGGTCCTTGTCAACATACTTGGTATAGTTACCTAAGTAAAATCTTAGTAACTCACCATAAGCGAAGGCGAGTAATTTTTCAACAAACCTATCCGGAGATACTTATATCTAAAATCAACTTACTCTTCATGTATGACTACCTACGTATATTCGTTCGTATGTGTAAGGGCTTAAACGTAGTATATTGCATGCTCTACTTGGCGCCCATGATCGTCCCCATCTTTAGGTAACGGTAACTCCTGATTCCTAACCCCTAATAACCCCTAGCTCCTAATTCCACATAAACCGCATGAACCACCGACTATCTCCTACCCGGAACCTCTTTTCCTGCCTTAGCCGGTGTGCCTGTCCGAATATGTACCTAAGGTAGTAGTAACAGCAAAGAAAACTAAAGAATACAAGCAATTCATAGAGCAGCTCTAATTCCCAACCAGGATAGCCCTTAAGACCATAACTTTTCCCCAGAAGACCAACCCGATTTAGTGAAGAAAGAAAAGGGAATAAATGAAGGGACGACTATGGAATGACTACTTCCACAGTTTGAAAGAAGAGCGGGCGTAATCGTATAAGCTCTACCATTCGACGCCCTGCTGCTCCTTGCCGTCCTTGTTCTCGTCGTCGTCGTTATCGAAAGCGCCGCCGGAGCTTTGGGCCACGTCCAGATCTCCCCAGTTCGCGTTTCCGCTCCAGCTGTTGTTACCGTTGCCATTACCGCTGCCGCTCCCGGAAGCCTGGTTATCATCGGGTTTACCTTTTCCTTTTTGCTTTCCCTTGCCCTTGTCTTTCTTGCCGTTGCCGTTGCCGTTGCCGCCAGTATGGGGACCCACGTTATCTTGACCGGAGGGAGGCTTCGCATCCTCGTTCTCTGATGGCGGATTACTGACCCAACATCCTGGCGGTCCCCTAGTTGGAGTACCGCGTTTCGGGCCAGCTTTAGATCTTTTACCACCCTTGTTTCCACCGTTGTTGCTATCATTATTGTCGCCGCTACCGTTGTCACCGTCATTCTTACTGCCGTTGCTGTTGTTGTTGTTGCTGCTACTCTGCTCGCCATTTACCACATTATCAACACTGACATTGCCTTCAGCTGGCCCTGGAGAATTGTCATTGCTATCGCCTTCCGTCGGTTTAGAGGCGTCTGCATCACCTGTCGCCGTTTCTTGCGCATCCTTCTCACCCCACGAGTTATCACCCGCGGCCGCGTCATTGCTGTCACCCCAGCCGGTGGTACCTCCCCATCCCCCATCGTTATTATCACCAAAAGTTCCGTTTCCGGTCTGGTCATTGTCGTTTGGTGGTATAGGGCTGAAACGTTCCGAGTTGGACTTATATAATGCCTCTGCCCTAGCAATCACATCATCGAACGACTCGTTTTGCCCAGAATTCCCGGCCTTGTCAGTATCCTTGCTGTCATTATTCCCCTCTTCCTTAGATTCGGAGGCCTCCTGCGAGCCATGGGCACCCTGAGTGCCCCAAGGCTTGTTCCTTGTCCCTCTGCCACCCCGAGGTCTCTCAGAATCAATAACCTCGATACTTGGGATGACATTCGATTTTCCGCCGCGATCACTTCTTGAGTTAGGTTCGGCCGGTTTAGTAGGTGTGCTATGTTGATCAGACCAAGTTCCGTTGTTCCTGTGATTGTTACCCGGTGAAAAATTGGCTCCCTGGGTCTCTTCAGGAGGCTTGCCAATTGTTACACTACCATACCCTTGGAACCAGGGATTTCCCCCAGGTGCCCCCGGATTTGCGGCTGGAGGTTGTTGGGAATGATCATGCGGAGGAAGAGGTTGTTGCTGTGGTGGAGGAGGTGGTGGTGCAGGCTGTCCTCCGGGGAAAGGCTGTAATCCAGCAGCTTGCCATGGATTATGTATTGGGTATGATACATTAACGGTCGGATTCTGATTCACATAAGGAGCATTGGGATAAAGTTGACCATATGCGTTGCCGTAATGCGGTCCATGGTATACGCGCATGATTCCATGCACTCCATCAAAGAAGGCATTGGGTCGAGGATCGTTAGGTAATTCGACAGCATGCTCAACCTGCAACACTCGGGGATGAGGTGGCATGAGAAAATTCGCTTGTTGTGGTGGATATCGAAGATTCTGGGGCAGATATTGATTCGCTTCGTCCAGATTGGTCCGAACACCAGCCTCGATTTCCTTCGTTCGTTGCTTGTTGGTTTCGTTGACCTGTCGGGGAATATGATACTCAGGTGAAATCTCTTGTCGGTATGCTTCTTCTTTCTCCCAAGTATCACGCTTATAGCCATGCTGCCTGTCGCCTCTGTCCAGGTTTCTCTCCTTGCTTCTGTCCCGGCTGCCGTGCCTATGTTGCTTCTTCCTCTCGCCGCCATGCTTTGATTTCTTGCTGTAACTACCCCGCCTGCGATGCCCGTCTCGCCTGGGCTCCTGGCCCCTGCTCTTATTCCTACCCCTACCCCTTTTCTTGTGGGGTCCTCTCTCGGACTCAGACTCACTTTCGATGTCCTCTCCAGTTCCGTCCTCGGTATCAGTCTCACTTCCGGTGCTAGACTCGTTCATATCCATCTGACCAGTCGACTTGTTATAGACTTTCTTAGCCTTTTGCTTAGTTCTCCGTCTGCTACTTCTTCCTCTGCATCCCCATGCTTCTCTTTCTTTAGATTTCTTTGCTTTGTGCCTCGCGTGTATAGCAGCTGCATCGTTCTTGCTTCCAATTGCGGACGAGTCGACATGCTGTTTTCTACTCCTCCCTTTAGACTGATTTGTCTTTTTCAGCCTTCTCCGTGCTTCAGCACAGTTTGCACAAGGACAGTCTAGGACTAAATCTTGGTCTGTAGATACTTCGCTTTCGCTGCTGTTAACTTCAACTGCTGTACTGCTGGCATCCGAATCCGAGTCGAGTGAAGGTTGAATAAATGGTTCCCTGACTCCAACCTTACGGGCATCGTCCGTGAATCGGACTTTCTTTCCATGTTGACGTTTATCCCGTCCCGTTCTGGGATAGGTGATCTTCAAAACGTCAGATTCGTATTCATCGTCGGTCTCAAGTTGGACTGCAAAAACTGGACGAGGTTTTTTATGTGTCAAATGCTGCGGTGCATTTCGGCCGGCCGCCCACTCACAAAATGAATTGGGCGGCATGATACCGAGTCGACTTGAATTATCTGACTAGGTAGACTTATGGAATCCTTAACTGTGTCGAATGCTCTTGAATACGGGAATAAAGGAGGTGAGTTAAAGGTAGTATCGGACATCAGATGAGGGTAATGGATATGATGAAACCATAGAGTAAATATTTCAGTCTCATAAGAAAGTATGAAAAAGAAGAATACTATCGGGAGAAAAAAAAAAAAAAGGTCCGAAAATTGAGTTAGGAGGTTAGGTTGTCGTCGTTTAAGATGCCTTAGGTAGAGGTAGTCAGGGTTGCAGGATGAGGTTAGGTTTGTTTATTAGGGGACAGATAATTGCCTGGAAACCGAAGTGGAATTTTGAAAGTCAGCAATATTCGTGTATGTAAATTATCCCTAACCTAAACTAACCTGACATTAGGTACCTTAGGAGGTAGGTAAAAAGGTGAATTGTGAAATAATTTAGGTAAGCCCTTTTCTTCTCAAAGGTGAATGGTAGGTGTTTCCTCGCGTCGCGTCACACTTTCCATATATACTTTCCACGCTTTCCCCTTTCCATTTTTCACGCCTCTACCCACGGCAACAACATTGAACCAACACTGTATGGTACCTAGCCTAGCCGTACATATTACTTTAGCTCAGGTATGTACCTACCCAGGTACCTAACCTACATTACTTGATTTGTCGATAAGATGTACCTATATCTTATATAAATCACCGGGTCAAACTTGCAGGTGGAATTATAATTTTGACTTCTCTTCCAACTCCATCTCTTTCCACCTCTTGTTGGCCCGGATATTCTGCCAATATGTCCACGCACCCGCAGCAACGCCTACAGGGGGAACGAGAAGACATATCCAATTCCACCAGGGTGGGCTTCCTTTTCTGATCTCCGCGAGTGCAGCGTCTACCTTAGCTCGTAGCTCCTCTTTCGAGCTGTCGTTCCATATTACTACCCCCCTGCCCTTTCCTCTCGCCTCGCATCTTTTTGCTTTCAGTCTCACGTCCGTCTGACTTAGGACACGATTTTGAGCGTCTTCCTTGCTCAGATGGGGGTCACGCTCCATAAGCCTCCGCATCTGTATTTCGGGGTCCCTAACAGCTACTACCATCACCACACCGGATAGCCTATCCCAGCCGCTCTCGAATAGCAGCGGAACATCTAAGACGACGGCCCAATAGCCTTTCACGTAACATCGGAAGATTGATCTGTACACCTCCCTTCTCACAGCGGGGTGCACGATGTTGTTGAGGACCTCTCTGTCCCTCTTGCGCTCCTCGCTGTTGCCGAAGACGCGCCTACCTAGCGCCGGTCTATTTAGTGGTCTGCCTTTACCGTCGGGACCATCGACAGGCATAGTCTCAGAGACGGGGACCAATATGTCCGGACCGAAGTACTTGACAATCGCTCTATAGCCGCTGGTTCCAGGCTCTACGACTTTGCGCGCCAGGACATCCGCATCGATAATTGGCAGCGAGTGAGGTGGTGACGATAGGATGGAAGATACGGTTGATTTGCCGGTGGCAATCGAACCTGTTAAGCCGATGAAGAGCATGTTGATTGATTGATGATGATGATTGTAGTGTACTGTGTTGTAAACCCTCAACTACCTGGGTAGTCAATCAAAACATTAGGGCGATAGGTTAGGTAGGTATCACCTAATAGAGGGAAGGTACATGAATTAAAGTAGGAGCTTTATGTTATCTCGATTCCCGATAGTTTGGACTAAGGATTCACCCCTCCTGCCTTTCCAGATAGACGAGCCGCATGATGCTTGTCTCACCTGGGCCAAGCGTTCCTTATCTAATCTACGCTAGTGTTTGATCAACTGAGTACCTCATTTGAAGTAATGTATCACATGTCTATATCAGGTGCTCTATTAAATAATGCAAGTGGCATGCAAGTCGTAAATGCTGTAGGATTTTTATTAGAAAATGTCGAGCTTTTTCTGATAAGGTTATGATAGGATGGTATGGGTAGTAAGCTTCAGTATAAACCTTAATAGATTCTATCTCATTAGTTCTCTTTATCTTTTATACCTTAGGTTAGGTATATACACAAATAGGTATACATATAGGTACCTAGGTACCTAAGTAAATTTTAATCTCAAAAGCAATAAATTCAAACGTGCGGAAAGTTGCACCTATAAGTCACTTACATGTACATGATGTATGTAACAGTTCTTCCGGTAGTTACTTGCATACAATAAGCACTGTATTGTACCTAAGTGCATTAAAGCAGGCCGTGATGCAGAATACCTCTAGTGGCCCCGCTAGATTGCGGGGGAGGGGTAACTTCTTTAAGTGAGGGGCATATTTTTTTTATTAATTTTTTTTTTCATGGTTACAAGATGTAGTAGTATACACATACTGTCACTCCCCCTACTCCCCCTCCTTAAAACCTAGGGTTGGGTCAAGTTTTATAAGTCCTTGTGATTTAATCAATTCGATCCCATATCACGACATATCGTACGATTTAGTCATGGGGATCGAATACCCACTTCGTGTTCTTCTCATTGGCAATGGCGGGAGAGAACATGCAATTGCGTGGAAGCTCAGCCAGTCGCCTCTGGTAGAGTCGATCATAGCTGTGCCAGGAAATGGAGGCACTGCGACTTGTCCCAAAACTACCAACAATACTTCCGTTTCGGCAGAAGACTTCCCAGCTTTGCTTGAACTAGCAAAAGCTAACAATGTTAACTACGTGGTTCCCGGTCCCGAGGCTCCTCTCGTTGCAGGTGCCGTTGACTTTTTCGAGAATGCGGGTATTAAGAGCTTTGGTCCCTCCAAGAAGGCTGCTCAGATGGAGGGCAGCAAGACATTCTCTAAAGACTTCATGAAGAAGCATGGAATACCTACCGCCGCTTACGAGAACTTCTCCGACTACGATAAGGCTCGAGAGTACCTCGACCGCGTCCAACACGACGTTGTGATCAAGGCAAGCGGACTAGCAGCTGGAAAAGGTGTTATTATACCCACATCGAAGCAGGAGGCCCACCAGGCCCTCAAGGATATCATGCAAAACAAGGAATTCGGCTCTGCGGGAGATGAAGTCGTTATCGAGGAATTCTTAACTGGTGACGAGTTAAGCATTCTGACTTTCAGCGACGGCTACACCATAAAGTCGCTACCTCCCGCCCAAGATCATAAGAGAATAGGAGAGGGAGACACAGGCCTAAACACGGGCGGCATGGGATGCTATGCGCCAACAAACATTGCTACGCCAGACCTCGTAGCGCAAATTGACCGAGATATCATCCAGCCGACCATCGACGGTATGCGCAAGGATGAGATGCCTTTTGTTGGTGTTCTTTTCACTGGACTCATGATCACCTCGACCGGGCCTAAGGTTCTCGAGTACAATGTCCGATTCGGTGACCCGGAGACGCAGACCGTCTTGCCTTTATTGTCACAAGACACGGACTTGGCTAAGATCATGGTCGCTTGTTCAGAGCGTTACCTAGATAGCGTTCTGATTAACGTCGAGCCCAAATATAGTGCAACCGTAGTCGTCGCTGCTGGAGGTTATCCCGAGTCCTACGCCAAGGGCGACGAGATAATCGTACAGAACACTCCTCAAGACATCAACATTTTCCATGCCGGCACAAAGCTAGCAAATGGCAAATTACAGACTGCAGGTGGTCGAGTAATAGCCGCCACCGCAACGGCCGCGGAGAGTCTTCGCGCTGCGGTTGACAGAGCTTATGAGGGGGTAAACCTCATCCAGTTCAAGCAGATGTACTACCGCCGGGATATTGCGCACCGTGCCTTCAAGCCGACGGCTGATACTAAGGAAGCTCTGACATATGCTGAGGCTGGTGTTAGCATTGACGCCGGGAACCAGCTCGTCGAGCGGATACGAACCGCCGTCAGATCAACTAGGAGAGCCGGAGCGGACGCCGAAATCGGTGGCTTTGGAGGCGAAGTTGATCTGTCCAAAGCGGGTTTCTCGAGCGATGCCCCCATCATGGTCGGCGCTATCGATGGCGTTGGCACAAAACTCATGATTGCGCAGGCTACTAAGAATCACAGCACCGTGGGCGTTGACCTCGTTGCTATGAACGTTAACGACCTTGTCGTTCAAGGTGCCGAGCCCGTCATGTTCCTCGACTACTTCGGTTGCAGCCGCCTCGACCCCGAAGTCGCCGCCGTCTTCGTCGAGAGTGTCGCCGCTGGTTGCCGTGATGCTGGATGTGCTCTCGTCGGTGGCGAAACCGCTGAGATGCCAGGAATGTACAAGGAAGATGATTACGACGCTGCTGGCGCTGCTATCGGCGTCATGCGCGCAAGTAGCCGACTCCCTCGCCTCGAAGCCATGGCCGACGGCGACGTCTTGCTAGGTCTCGCTTCCTCCGGCGTTCATTCCAACGGGTTCTCTCTTGTCCGCCGCATCCTCGCACGCGAGAAGCTCGACTACGCGAGCCCCGCTCCCTGGGACGCCACATCCGGCAAGAGCGTAGGTGAGGCCCTCCTCACGCCCACCCGCATCTACGTGCGCTCGGTCCTAGCCTCCCTCTCCCACCTCAAGGGCCTCGCGCACATCACCGGCGGCGGCCTGACCGAGAACGTCCCGCGCATGCTGCCCGCGCACCTCGCCGCCGAGATCGACGTGGCCGCGTGGAAGCTGCCCCCCGTGTTCCGCTGGCTGCAGGCCGCGGGCAACGTGGCGCCCGCGGAGATGGCGCGCACGTTCAACAACGGCGTCGGCATGGTGGCCGTCGTGAGCCCCGGCGACGCCGAGGCCGTGGCCGCCAAGCTCAGGGAGTCCGGCGAGACGGTGTACGTTATTGGAAAATTGACGACTAGGGCGGAGGGCGCGCCGGCTTGCGTGCTGAAGAATTTGGATTCGTGGAGTTAGAGGTGGATAAAGTTACTACCTTGCTTAACTTAACCTGAGGGGACTTAGATAAAAAAAGAGAAGAAAGAAAAAAAGAGAAGAAAGAAAAAAAGAAAAAAAGGGGGGATAAGGGATAAGAGGCTAAAAGAGGTAAGGGAGTTATATACTAGCTGACCTTAGCTGATAGGATAGGATAGGGTATGGGCGGTAGGGAGGTAGGGATTCATACCAAAAATATGTGAATGTCTTGAGCTTCGCAAGTAGTATAAAAAAACAAATAGAGATATTTTAGATTCGATTCGATCCACTCTCCAGCTCGTCAGCTATGTAAGGTTAGGTACATATCACATTGATACCAGGTAACAAGTCAACAAGACAATGTTCAAGTAATTGTGCATTTGTATCTATGTATACCTAGGTAGGTACCTCCTCTGTATATATGCGTATGCGATGATCTGATGCGATATGCTCTGCTGTTCTGCTCTCCTCATGCTCCGTTATATTACGATAACAATAACAAATAACAAATAACAACGACGACGACGAAAACCCTCATGCGCATTCCACACCACACCACACTACAACAACATCCGTATCCGCATCCGCATCCGCATCCGCATCCGCATTCGTATCCGCCGCCTCGGCCATAAAGTCGTATCTAGATAGAGTTCGTAGTTGGAATAATAATGATACCTAACGATGATGATGATGATGATGATGATGATAAAAAAAAGGAAGAAAAAAAAACACTTGAATCGAAACAACGTCGGTGGAGGGTAGGTACCAACGAAAGCCCGCGAATTTATATCCCAATCTAATCCCAGCTGAGGAAAAGCAAAGTAAAGAAAAGTAAAGCCAAAGCAGGTATACCATAAAAAAAAGACACGACGTCGATCTATGATATATGCATCATGCATGGGAGCTATTCAACACAAAAAGTTTAGGTCCTCTCCTCCCTCCCTCCCTCCCTCCCTACCACCTAACCCCTAACATAAGCCGCACCTATATCTCGTCATCCGCCCACTCCTCGCACACGACGGCCCCGGCACCGTTCGTAGTGCACTTCTCCCACCCCTTGCACACGCCGACCCAGTTCCGCTCCACGCAGCGCGAGGACGTCGGAGCAGGGGTGGGCGCGACGGACGTAGGCGTGGGGGGCGGTGAAGTGATAAGATGGGCCTGAGATGTCGCAGTGGTAGTACTAGTAGTAGTGCTGGTGATCGAAGTCGTTTTGTCCTTACATCCCCACCATCCCGGCGTTTCGCAGGTGGTAGTTGAGGTCGTGGTGACGGACGTGGAAGTAGACGTGGTGCTAGTAGTAGTAGTCGTAGTCTCGTCCTTGCAGCCGAACCATCCCGGGGTCTTGCAGGTCGAGGTCGAGCTGCTCGTGGTGGTAGTGCTGGGTGTACCTGTTGTGGTAGTCTCGTCAAGACAGCCCCACCTATAAGTTGTTGTTAGTTAGCCATTTGCATCTTCAAACAAACAGGGGAAACAGAGTATACTTACCATCCGGGAGTTTGGCAGGTAGCTGTTCGGGTACGTGTTTTAGTCGTCGTAGTACTGCTAGAGGAAGTCGTCCCATCCGTGCTATTACTCTCGTACATTTTCCAGTTCGCGCAGTCCCTGCAGTCGGGAGTGGACTTGCACTCGGGAACGTCGTCATACTTTCGAATAACATCGTTGATCACAGATCGTATCTTGTGAGTCCCGATACCTACTCGCCAGCCATGGTCGGCAACCGTGTCGTAGGTGCACTCGTAGCCCGTATGACAGGCTGACTCCAGCGCATATCCCGCGAAGGAACACGAGGCGGTCGCGCCATTGCAGGTTCCTATGTAAATAGGATCGGCCGTATGTCCGAAGTGGTACGTTCCCGTATACTGCCGCGTCTGAGGAAAGCTGGGGTCTGCATGCGGTGGAACAGGAAGACCCAGCCTTCCAGCTGCCAACGCCTCAGGGACAGCCTCAAATGTCACGACAGGAAGGCCATATGTTAGACCAAGAAGGGAGCTAACTGCTCCACCCAACGAATGACCGGAAACCCAGACATTTGATTCTGGGTAAATCTCGGTGACATTTGCGTACAACTCTCTCACTGCCTGGTAGTACCGGTTTTCTTCTCGTAAAGCGGTCTTTACGCAGGTATTATTGCAACTATACGTGCTGGTTGCACAGTCGCAGACTTGATGCCACGACCATTGACCTTGCTGGGCGCAGCAGCAGCTAAAGAAGAGGTTATCATTGATTTTGTCATTAGTGGTTGTACCCTCTCCATCGAAAACAGCCGGTGACGTTCCCTTGAGACCAATGACAATAGTAGAATTATTCTCGTCAGCCCAGATATGCCCCCTGAGCCCGTCGCTCTCCCAGCCAAAATCGGCGCTCCTGTTGAATGGCTCCCCAACTTCGTCCCAGTCCGGCATACCAGGCTTCTCTACATATGCATCGGACGCGATCAATGCCATGGTCAGGACAGTTTCTTTATCGGTGACGTCGGGTCCTGGGACGTCGTCGACAGCCCATGCAGATGGGCTACTCGCAATGACATAACCGCGTTGGCGGGCCTCGGCCACCAACGGATCCACGACACTCGGCCGTCGATCGACCAAACGCTCAATCTTGCTAGGTTGACTCTTTGCTTTTAAAGGTAATATCCGCTCCGCGGCGTGTCCGTCTTCACCAGCCAACCATACCTCGGCTTCTGGCCCGAGGATATCTTTCCTTCGGTGAAGCCCAGGATGGCGGTATGTTCCATGATGGAATATGTGACGTAGGGTGAAGGTATGCTCGGCCGGCTGCGGCGGTTCTGGTATCAAGGGCGTGAGTAAGGGCGTGTCCGGGAAGGTTGCCTCTTGGTTTTGGAGGCTCGCGGCCGTTGGAGAGGCGGATATGGCGAGAAACGACAAGAGTAGTTGAGCTGTCACTCTGCCAGCAGAGTGACATGTCGAAGCCTGGCGTTTCCGCCTCGTACCCATGGCTGGTTTGGTTTTATTATATCAAGAGTTAGGGGTAATACCGGGGATAAAGGAACGTGTGCGCTTTTCGAAGGAAGCTTCGGATGAGATGAATTAGATAATTATTAGATGAAAAGAAGGAAAGGCTGTTAATAGGAGGCGAGGGTCCAAAAGGGTTTGAATGATGGGATAAGGATAAGGATAAGGACGGTAAGATAGGTGTAAGTTGTAAGTGCAGTGGTCACGGCACTTGGCATCCCCACAATGAACTCTGGGGGCCGCTATCGCGTGGACAGTGGCGCTGCCTATCGGGTTATCTCCTTATGACAACATTGGTCCAACCTAACAGCCCTAATCTGCTTAGTGTATTGTACATAGTTGCATAACTTACACTAGGTAGACATGCATGTGGGTATTCGGTACTTATTGTACTACCTGGGTCTAATAATGCTTTTATGACAGGTTTTCTGTTATCTCTTAGAGACCCAAACTAGGGTCCAGGACTAGCGCTATGCAGGCTATTACTAGCTTGTTGACTCCGACGTATTAGATTTTTGCGTTTAAACACATCTCCACCTATTTCATACGAGGCTTTACATAGTAAGTATAAACACGTTTAAACACACGTAAAAATACGCTAAATTTTAAAAAAGATACATACAGGGGGACAGTGGCTTGGTAGCGAGATCGCATTGCATGGTTTAACATGCACGCTAGTCCCGGACCCTAGTTTGGGTCTCTAAGAGATAACAATCAACTACCCCAGTTCCTCTAATTATATAACGTGGAATAAGATTGAAATATTTAGGTAGATAATACTGTATATCCTTTCATTTTTTAAATGATCTTACTATTATATGATATTACATGAACATTTCATGGAAGTTATCTAATAGGTATTCATCCCGTTGCGCTGATCTACCTCGCAGGCTGCCACTTACAGCAAACATGAATGGTCACTTCGCAGCCGCATTTTTAGGGTTATTACCGCATCTACAATATCATGCAGGGAATGGTGACTTTACAGCTAGGTCCTTTGACGCGTTTATGCCAGGACCAATATGATGCCCTCGTTCGGGTACCTGGGCTACGTACGCCCACTTGCTTATAACAGACGAAAGGCAAAAGGTTGACACCTATTAACTCACGTTATAGTTGGCCCGCGATAAGCCAACCAAGACCGTTTCTTAAGATTTCTCAGAAAGCCCGAGTTTAACATTGACGAACTCCATATGGTGCGGCAGTGGAATTACTTTCAAGGACCATACCGTGACGTTGACGTAGACGTAATCAGGGGCGGGCTGCTCCACGCTACGCCGTGGGTTGGATGCGCTGCACTGCGACTCTCGGCAACGAAGCTCAGTCCTTCGTGTTAGCTAACGTTAGCCTCCGGGAAGAAAGACGTTATGGGGAACTGAAGAGTAAATAACGGGATATCGACATCTCCTTCTCCCCGGCAAGCCACGACGTGAAAAAGCGCCTCCAGAAGGAAGCATGTCGTGGTTGTCAAAAGAAAACATACGCAATCTAATATCTACGATATACCTATGCGAAATCGAAGGCGTCGTATGAGGCTAATACTCTCTAGTAGATGTCTAACTTTATCAAAAACCCAATTAGCTACAGACCGAGGGGGTTCTTCCTCGCGAACTTGGATCGGTTCAAAAGCGCCGTAATTAGGTTAGGTACCTAGAGAGAGGTACCTAAAACGCAGAATATGTTTGAGCTTGCTGAGATAATATCTGAATGCTTGCATGAACCTAACATAAGCAAGCCTTATGCGGTATTGTACATGCTATGGAAGCTTACAGGGGTATGTCGGTATTGTATTATAGGTACCTAAACTCAAGTCCCTCCCCTGACAGCCTACAGGTACTTCTATCATTAGAAGGCCCAACCGTTATCAATTATCATGTACGAAGGTCCGGGCCAAAAGTCTTGCACATCGTAGCTTAGGTAAGCTACCCACTTAGGTATGTGTCAATAAAAAAAGGCCATACGGTGTCAGATCGACCAATAGCAGCTAGCTCCCCTGTGGCTATAGTGGTAAGCCCCCTAAAATTTAGCGTACAAGCCACTATCCGCCCCCAAACCTAGTACTAAGCCAATACAGTGTTATTATAATCGTGCACGTTAAATTCTTGCGATTAAAAGCTTGGCAAAGCTTGGCATATGCAAGACTTTTGGCCCGGACCTTCGTACATGCCTACCTATCAATGTGGAGCTCGGCTTCTATCATCGCTGCACCACCCACCTTATCCTTAGCTAAGGTGCTACAAGTACCTACATAACCTAACATACATGATATAATACATAAAATGTACATAATCTAAGACTGTAAAGTGGGTGGAAGAAGAGCTTCCCGGAATAGCCAACTCCTTACACACACACACACACACACACCTGCACTTATACACTTACATATACCTACACTCTTCCACATAAGTGCTGGAAATTAACACGTTCGCTCACGTCTCTCGTCATCCTGGCTATTACCAATTATCTTGTTCTAGTTTAGCGTTAATGGCTCTCCTTTTGTCTACCATCGACTAATAGAGGCACAACAATACACTGCCTATATCCTCGTTTTGACACAATCCGAGGCCATTCGCATCTTCCGTGCCCATAGTAGAAAGGTATCGTGTCCCTACTGTATATTTCATACCTTCCTGCTTTTAATATATATTTCAGACTTGGCACATCGTTTTGTTGGCTTAGGTACTTTTGACTTCCTCATGGCTCCCACGACCCCGACCAAGGGATCCGAGCCCGAGCCCGGGTCGCTTTCAACCTCGAACACATTCCCTCGTCACTCCCCTTCGCAAGCGAAAGAACCTCGACCAGCCATTCAACGCGCAAATACCACAGAGAACGGTGCCATCCCGCCTGTTACCATCACGCAGGACACACCACCGGAGGGGCAGAAAGAGAAGGCCGATACGTTTGAGTCTGAAGCTGCCGATGATGATGTAGTTGAAGCACCCCGCGCTTCGGTGGACATGGATGATATACCCATTGAGCTGGTCAGCAAGACGGACAAGTTGAGTTCAGACGAACCTTGGTCTGGGCCGGATGCGACTAATACCTTTACCTCAGCTTCATCGACTCGCTCTCCGCTAAGGTTCACCCCTCCCCACCAAATATAGATAATCTATCTCGGCTATTTCAAGATTTCTATCACGTCGCTGCTTCCCACATCCGGACCCATATAGACAGTCTGGCCACCCGGCAAACCCGGGAGACTTCGCCGACCCACTCGAGTTATTCCAAAGCGTCGCCAGCTAGTTTGTTAAGAGCCAAGGCAGCTTCTTTTAGCAATAGGGACAAGACGAAAGAAACACCAACCAAGGGAGAGCAGCAGATGCTCACGGCCGAGGAGTTTGCTGACAGAAAGCGAGCAAAGAAGGCGCTAGAGCAGAAGAGGATCTTACTCGAGGAAGCGGTTGAAAGACGGCTTTGCGAAGGGATATACGACCGCATATATCGGCATCGGTCTACCCAAGATGAGGCGCAAGACGACAAGCTCAGATCCAAGACGGCCGCCTTGGCTCTTGTCGGTATCGGGCCTGCGGACTTAGGCGTTGACCTTGGGGAAACACCCGAGGACACCCCTGAGGCCCGCGCGCAGAAGCAAGAGCAGATTCGGGAGTACCTAGACCAAGCCCGGAAAGACTTGATGTTAATGTACGAGAAGAGGTACCCCTTAGGCAAGCTCAATCATCTCAAGGCCGCTCATAAGAGCATTGTTGAAACATTGTCCAACTTCCACCCTTCTTCGTCAGCTGATGAGATCATGCCGATGCTCATCTACACTCTGATAACTATGCCACCTGAGAAGCTTAGTGTAATCAGTGATTCGAACTTCATACAGAGATTCCGGTGGGAAGAAAAGCTCGAGGGAGAAGCCGCATATTGCTTGACAAACCTCGAGGCCGCAATCACTTTTCTGCAAACAGTAGATCTTGCTAGTCTTAGAGCGGACGAGGCGTCGTCAGGTCCATTAAAATCAGAGAGCCGACCCGAGGCGCAAAGGACGGAGACATTCCCGCCTGCCTACACGGCAGGCTTATCTGCCACAACGTCAAATTCGGCTGCCGCAACTCCTGAAAATGCTAAGAGCACGAAACTTTCACCGTCATCCGACAGCTTACGAGCCGCCATTCAACGCCGCAGGTTAAGTGACCTTATCCAGAGTCCAGCCCAGGCTTTTGGAAACGCAAGCGACTCGCTATTTTACACAGCTGACCAAGGGATCAAGAATATCGGGACCAGCTTGGGTGATAGCTATAAGTTCTTACTTGGCAAGCTTCGAGACAGTTCCGCTAGCGGGCGGGAACTAATCGTTCCACGAACCCTAGACGAAGCACGGAAGCTTATAGGCACCCCGCCCCCAGAAGATGATACTTCCGTTGATGGTGGGAGTTCCGCACAAGGAGGCGAGAATCCCGAGCGGCCGGCACCTGGAAAGGACGATAAATTACTATCCCTAGTGGGTGGTAAAAGGCCTGTAAGGGATCACAGTACAGACAGTACGAGGAGCGCTCGGAGCGTAAGCAGCTCTAAGAAATTGTTTTCTGCGGAAGAAAACAAGGAGAAAACTCCCACCGCAACCGCAACGCCCTCGCCTGCTTCCTCCAACCAACCTCTGGTCGAATCGATGAGGAACCTCGGCAATTCTCTCAACCCCATCAACCGCTTCGCTGGAATGAGCATGATGCGCGGGTTCGGTCGCGCGGCGACGATTCCCGTGACGCCCACCAAGAGCGATAACTCCTCCTCCAAGGCGACGGACGGGGGAGATCTAGCTACGGTATGAATCTCGCGAAACAGATTTGCACGGTGTACCTAATGTAATGGCTAACATATACCCATCTATCTAGGCATTCCCCGATATCGCCGCGGCGCTGCCGCCGAAGGACATACCGAAAATAGACCCGCCCAAGAAGAAGTTCATGGAAATACAGAACCCTACGGACCTCAGGATCGGCGACGTCCTGGAGCTGCTGAGGGATTACCGCCGGCTGGCTGGCGCTCTTAAGGATATGGATGCTTTCAAGGAATAAAGCATAAAGCATAAAGCATAGGCGTAGGTTTAGGTTTAGGTGGGGGGTAGATATAAGCGACCAGGCTCGTTCTTGATATATACACTGTTTTTTTCCTAACGATTACTGCAATTCATACATACATACGTGTGTGGTACTCTCTGTTCGTTGGGGGTTTTTATTTATAGCGCATTCTGCATGGCTCTGGAGTTTTTCTTTCTTTTCTTTACTTGTGCGGAGAGACAATGGACAAGGGAAGGCGAGGTATTTTTCTTTTTTTGGTGTTATATAGAGAGGAAAGGCAGGTGATGGGGGTTAGGACGATAGAGGGGGATAAATGAATGAGTGGATGGAATCTATATAGGTCAGACGCAGATAGTAAACACACCGCCTGCTGGCTTACCTACGTGCCGTATGTACCAGCCATACCAAGTATATTAAATATAGAAAAAAAAAACATTGAGACAGACATATCAAGTAGAAGCGAAACGGCACGAGATGGTAACGGGATGTTGGTTGCAAAGTAACAGGCATGTATGTATGTATTATCTTGGTATTGGTATTGGTATTGGTTATTAATCAAGGGGGATGGGATGGGATATATGTACATAACAGGTATCTTCTGACTGACACAGCTCGCAAAGGCAGAGTAAAGCATGTAAGGTAAGGCAAACAAACGCCTGACTTTGGGAGAGTAGAAAAAAAACGGAAATACAACCACAACAACAACAACAACTCGGAAACGGGGGCTGCTTGCTGGCTTTCGTTGTTTATAGTAGGTATACCCTAGGTATAGGTAGGTTGTGGTATCGCAGCAGCATCGGTCCAACATCATCACCAACCATATAAACAGCCCTCGTCAATGAGGTTTTTTCCATATATATAAAAAAGTGTAGAAGTAACCTAGTAAACCTAGTAAGCCTTAGGTAAGGGTAAGGTAAGGTAAGGTAGCCTAGCGTAACCTAATATCTCTCTCTCCTCTTCTTTGAAGCTCAGACCTCCTGGTATAAGCATAGCATCCACAGCATTCAACGGCTTTCTCTGTCTCTCTCTCCGTAGAACTACCCGCTCGATACCCGAAAGCCGCAGCTAGCGAGTCAGTAGTAGTAGTAATAGTAGTAGTGTTTTTCTTATTTCCTTGCCTATGTCCTCCACGTTTCTTTTTTATTTCTCTTTCACCCCGACCTCATTCATTTCCTCCTCACGTCTGTTTGTATTAACTTAAAACTCCCATAGCGGCATAGACGGGAGTCGTTATTGTTGTCCCCTGCAAGTGTTGTCTCTTCCTTTTAATCCGACCACAATTCCATCTCCTCCGGCTTTCCCCCTAGCACATAAATAGTGCATAGGGGGGTTATTAGTCCGCGACAAGGAAAAAAAAAGTATAAATGCAGTCTAACGCAGCCCCATTGATTTCGAGCCGCCGAGCCTGAGCTTTCTTGACTGTTTTTGCTTATTATTAAAAGATACGTTTTTATGTATGTGTACTTTATAAGAAACTCCAGGTAGACGCAAACTCCTAGCTCTTATATGTTAGGCCCGCATTCGACTCGACCTGACCGGAAAATCAGTGGTATCCGTTAGTCTTTTTGGTTGGGCTCGCTCTCCCATTCGTAATATCCTGAAGCGGCCCGCCTCCCTCCGCCGCACCGCTAGTACTATCGCGGCGCGAGGGGCTTATCAGCTTCTCCATGAAGCTGATGTAGTCGTACTGAGGTACGCCGCGATCCTGAGCCATGTCGGGACCGTTGTGAGGCGGGACGATCTCGCAGAGCTTCTCGATGACGTCGTCAGGGACGAGGGAGTGACGCAAGTCCATCTCAGTAACGTAGGGCTTGCCGTCAGCGACCTCACGGAAACTCTGGAACACTTGTTCAGCTGTGTTCTGGTCTTCCGTCACGTCCACCATAAACCGGATGAACTGCTCGAACGTTACCCGGTCCTGGCCCCGCGACGTCTCCACGAAGTAGTCGTGCATCTCCTCTTCGCTAAACACTAGACCGAGCGATGCCAGCGCTGCCGAGAATTCCAGTTCTGACAGCGAGTTTGTGTCGTCCCGGTCGAAATGTCGGAACACGGATTCGAACTCTTCCAGCTGGATTGGTGTTAGGTTCGTCATGTTACGCGCCACCATCTGGTTCTCCAAGAAGGCGAGTTTTTTCTGCACGGACGATTTGACAAGTCCTAGTTCGTATAGCAGCTCGTCATACGTGTAAGTTGTGAAATCGTTTTCTTCGATGTTGGCTTCCTGACACTTTGCATCGACAGCCTCAATCTTTTCCAGGTACGCGTCCAGAGGCGGCAGGTTATCACTTAGCTTTCGCACGTGTAGAAGTTGGTCTTCTACATCACCTTCGAGACCCGAGATAGCGATTTGCATTGTATTAAGAGCAAGCGCAAAGTCATTAGCCTTGTCGGCGAACGATTTACGCAGCGCGTTCTTGATACTGAGATGATAGTTAGCGAGTGGTGGTCACAAATGTTTGGCAAACTTACTCTCGAATAGTCTCGTTGATCAGCTGGGCGCGCATCATCTCAGCCTCTGTTAACCTAGACCATTCCTTATCCATGGTCTCTAGCGACAACTCTGGTGGGGGCTCATACGCTCTTAGTCGGTACGTGCCGAGCTTGGTCTTGATGTTTCCTAATAATGTAGCTAGGTCACTCTTCTCGGCGACCCATTCTCTCTTCTTCCCTCTTTTATAAGATGCAAACTCGTTTGCTTGTCTCTTTGCGTCGACGTAAGTTCCTTCAAAAGTTGCTTGCTGCCATTGTTGTACTTGCTCCCTGATCTGTCTCAACAACTCAGCCATCCGCTTCTCGTAGGCGCTTTGCATCTCCCACGCCCCTTGCATGTTATTAACGAACTTCTCTACTCGTCGACCAGCGTTCTCGACCTTCTCCATCTGCGAGAAGGCATGGAACCAGTAGGCGATATACGTCATCAAACTCCTTTCATCAGGCTTAGCAACGTCGCAAACATCTTCAACATCCAACAAGTCAGGGATACCAATCTCCTTATGAGCGATCTCGAACGCTAGTTGCATGTTGCCCCGGTGGTCGGATTTATCCAAGGAGTCATAGTCGATAAGATCAGGTCGATGGATATCTAACAGGGCGCAGAAGGCGAGTCCGTCATTCCAGCTACTACTGAAATCCCGAACGTCGACCTCGTCGTAACAAGCTGTTTTACGTTGACACCATAAAAGAAGACCCTCCTTGGCTGTCATACCCTCCTCGTTAATGTCGCTGATGGTAAATCGCAAAATGAGAGTCCAAATAAGACCCAAAATGATCTTGCGATTGCCGTCAACCACATCTTCTGCACCGATATTCGTCATCTGAATCCCCCTCGACTTAATGAAGTTGAGCGCCGTGTTGGCATTCTCGAACTTTTGTACTCGCAACTTCGGTTTCGCGGCATATCGACCCAAAGATTCACTAGATAAGCATTCGAGCAAGTGTATTAGAAGTACCTACGAGTTCGAATCGTTAGTTTTGATTGGGTTTTCGGAGCGATGATGGATATAAACGTAACGTACAGCATCACTGAGGTCGGCAACGAGATCCTTAACCACTAAGCCCCTCGGTAAAATCTTGGTGTTCATCCTAGCATTCCAAGCATGTCAGTTTGTCAGTTCCCGCGGGTAGTAATTCGAGGAACATTGTCTCATGAAGAAATGAGAACAATGTCGAGATTGCTGGCTAACCATTTTGTGAACGTCTTCTGTTGGACGTTGATCCATTGGTCAGCCATCTTGGGCAAGGCGAGGCCCCCCGGCCGCTCAGGGGCAGCTTAGATAGGATGAGAGGACGCGCGATGCAAAATCCACGTTCGTGTTTTCTGCGACCTTTTTTTCTTTCTTTTCTTTTATCGGCTTGGACTATTTGATCGCTTCCCGAATAAGTCAAAAAGGTCAGATACGGGATAGGATAGTAGATACGGCGAAGGTTAATCGCGAACAATTTTTTAAGATTCGGGCTGCAAATTAGTTGGGGCGTAGAACTTGATCGGATGAGAGTTGAATTGAGTTCTCCTAAATTGCGGGATCTCGGCGTTGTAGAAATGTTCTAGCGGGACACGGGACGCGGCGTGGATTCGGGTTTAAAAAAAAGGGCTGGTGTTGGGTTGGTCACAGGTTAAAAGTCGAACAACAATTAAAAAAAAAGAGGTTGGTAAAAAGTTGTAGTAGTAAAAATAAATACAGATTAAAAAAAGACAAAAAAAGAAAACTTGTATAAACGTCGAGTTTCTTACCTTCTCAAAACGTATTGTGTGGTTGCTAATGTTACATCAAAGATGCTGACTTGGGGACTTGGGGAATGCTTCGGCGATTGTTCTGCTTCTTCCCGTCTTTCTTTTCATCTTTCAACGTCCACAATTGGTTGCTAAGGGGATCCATCCTTAACCCATTCAGCCTGCCCAACCCATCTCCCCCCTTATTTGCCCGCCCCGCCTAAGGGGGGTTCTTAATATAATTTATCGATAAGGAGATAAATGGAGATAAACACATGGTCTAACCTTTTAAATTAGAAGTGGGCTTTTCTATGGACTAGGGGACCTCGTAAGATCTACGGTACAATACGTCAAGTACCTCTAAAACCTCCAATGCCTTCCAAGGTTTCTCTGTTTCTCCACCGGCCCGCTGCAACCTAACACTGAAAATGGAAAGATTCAACCGGGAATAGAGTTTCGCCGCCGTCATACAATTGTCTAATTAGACTCATTCTTTTTTTTTTTTTTTTTTTTTTGGTGCATCACTAGTAATAAAGCTATTTAGATTTAATTAAAACCCAATTGAATGTAGGCAATCTCAATTTGATGTTATAGGTTTGAAGAACCTTTTAGAAAATAAATATGGCTTGCAGGTCAAAGCTCGCTCCCGTGTTGAAGCGGGTAGCGATACCGAGCTTGAGAAGATCCGTGGCGGTTGCCAGCCCAGTCGTCTCTGCCGCGCGATATATATCAGGCACGGCTCCGAGGCCGTTCCGGGAATCCAGCACAAAACGCGCCGGCGGGTTCACAACCGATTCCTACCCGGAGATCAAGCGGGACGACAGGTTCGCCCAGATCACAGCCGAGCACGTGGACTACTTCAAACAGCTGCTCGGCAAGGACTCCGCCGTAGTCGACGGCGTGACCGGCGCCGCGGCCGAGGACGAGATTGAGCCCTTCAATCTCGACTGGATGCGCAAGTACAAGGGCCACTGCAAGCTGGTCCTGAAACCGGCTTCGACCGAGGAGGTCAGTAAGATCCTCAAGTATTGTAACGAGAACATGCTGGCTGTCGTCCCTCAGGGAGGTAATACCGGCCTTGTCGGCGGCTCGGTGCCTGTATTCGACGAGATCGTCGTCAGCACCAGCCGGATGAACCAGATCCGGTCTTTTGACGAAGTAACCGGTGCTTTGGTTGTGGATGCCGGTGTTGTGCTAGAGGTAGCCGATCAGTTCCTTGCCGAGAAGGGCTATATCTTCCCCTTAGACCTGGGTGCTAAGGGTTCCTGCCACATCGGCGGCAATGTTTCGACTAACGCCGGCGGGCTCCGGTTATTGCGGTACGGAAGTTTGCACGGCACCGTCCTGGGAGTCGAAGCCGTTCTTCCCGATGGGACCATCTTAAACGACTTGAGCAAGCTGCGGAAGAACAATACGGGGTATGACTTGAAGCAACTCTTCATCGGCGCGGAAGGAACAATCGGCATGATCACTGCGGTATCCATACACTGCCCCCCACGGTCCAAGGCGGTCAACGTTGCGTTCCTCGGTGTTGAATCTTATGACGAACTCCTCCAGGCTTTCAGGGAGGCTAAGACGCAACTTGGTGAAATCCTATCTGCTTTCGAGATGATGGATGCCCAGAGCCAGGAAATATTCCACAAGGTAAAGGGGAACAAACGACCGCTCGAAGGCGAACATCCTTTCTACTGTTTAATAGAGACGAGCGGTTCAAACTCGGAGCATGATAGCGAGAAGTTGGGAAACTTCCTCGAAGATCTTATGACGAAGGAGATTGTTAGCGACGGCGTCATGGCACAGGATGAGACTCAATTCAAATCGCTATGGAGCCAGCGAGAAGGCATTACGGAAACCCTTGGACACTGGGGCGGAGTTTATAAATACGACGTATCCATCCCTATAAAGGAGATGTACCAGCTTGTGGAAGACACCAGAAAGAGACTAGAAGACGCCGGCCTGAAGGACGGGACCGAAGCGTCTCCCGTCGTGGACGTTGTCGGTTACGGCCATATGGGAGACTGCAACTTACACCTCAACATTGCGGTGCGGAGATACGACAAGAAAGTAGAAGAGGCTCTCGAGCCGTTTGTTTACGAATGGATCAGCAAGAGAAACGGCAGCATCAGTGCCGAGCACGGGTTAGGTATTGCTAAGAAGAAGTATATTGGCTACAGCCGAAACGAGACGACGGTAGGGCTGATGAAGCAAATTAAGAACCTCTACGACCCGGTAGGTTATCCTCCTCGTCTTAGTTTCGGTATTTAGACTGTACTAACGTTACCCCTAGAACGGCATTATGAATCCTTACAAGTACATATAGAGATGTATTGTACTATAATACCGTTGTAGAACGGATAGCTTCTTCAACAGATGAATATGGGACAGTTCCTGGGCCGGACTTTTGTAAATACGGGCTCGAAAGGAAGGTTGGCAATTAAAAAAAATTTGATATCCGGTGAATAACAGGTAGAAGGCTTGCAAGTATCTTAAACACTATGTGAGTTCGTTCTTCTGTAGATGCGGAAAACATCGTCTGTAGCTTTAGGGGAGAGTTTATGGTGTCATTCTAAAGCAGTCTAAAGGAAGTTATAAAACCCTCGGTTAATTTTTACAAAATAATGAGAAATATCAAACAGCAATATCTTAAGACTCCTAAAATCTTAATATACAAAGTGCAGCATAATAATAGTAAGACTAAAAGGGGTGGATGTACATAGTAAGCATAGTAAGTGATGTAAGTCTTATCGATAAGCACCACACTTGCGATTTCGATAAGAGGAAAAAGAGAAAAAGAAGCTTCATCCAAGAAATTTGTGAGAACTACCTAACCTACTTAAACCCCGCGCTACCTACCCCCTACCCCTACTTTTCTCGTATATACCTGCAGTAAGAAACAGCAGCAACAGTAGCAGCAGCAGCAGAAAAAATGTCCGAAGGCAACATCAACCTCAACAACTTCGACCTCGCGAAGCTGAACGAGAGCGACAAGGCGGAACTGCGGCAGTTCTTCGCGAACGAGGGGCAGAAGGCTCGCATTCAGACCAGTACGTATACGTACCTAACGTACCTAACCTACACCCTTCCCTTCCCTTTCTATATCTCTCTTTACGCTTCTTCCCCTTGGGAGGTACCTACACACCTACCTACGTACCCCGAAGCACGCATCATTTCTAGGATGTTCAGAGTCTGTTCCGCTAACCCATCGGCCCCCAAAAACAAAAGCCGTCCACAACCTAACCGACATGTGCTTCCGGAAGTGCGTGACGGGCGCTATACGCAGCGGCAAGCTGGACCGGGCCGAGGAGGGGTGCATGGCCAACTGCGCCGACCGCTTCATCGACGTCAGCCAGCTGACCGTCAAGCACCTGCAGAACATGCGCCAGGGCTAGAAACGGAAACGTCTACGTCAACAACGTCAATGACAACGACAAATGTCAACCTGGACAAGGCGAGGGCGAGGCGAAAACTCGTAGATCCATAGGAGGAGGAGGAAGAAGAATAGGAGAAGGAGGTATACATGGATGGATGGATTGGATTGGATCTGACGATATCCAGTATGCGCTGGCCCCGTGGGGAACAATAAATAAATTACGTTGTGATGGCAGGGACATTGTACGAATAGTTACGAGAGGAGCATGAATGAATGGGAAACCCAGCGTGTGGAAACAAACTATCTCAAACGCGGCATCCGAGGACCGGGTTCAAGGCGCCAAGTGGACGACATACATACAGAAATATACGGTCATAGAATCACCATAAATAGAGCACTTGGGAAAGTTGAAACAGCCAAGGGAAAAAAAGAGAGCAAGAGAGCAGTCTCAAATCATTCGGGACGAGTTTTTAATTCGTGTCTTTTGAGAAATCAATTCTTTTCCGTTGATCTCATCATAAGCCTAGGAAGCCCATAACTAGCCCATCCATTCATTGGGCAAAAAACGCAACGCCGGCCTTTTTGGTATGCATATAGTCCACCTAGACGACTCGAGGTTTGTGTGCCGCGTCTACCTAATCGCGACACGATCTGCCATGTCATCCCGCTTTGCCAAATCACTGCCGAACCACCGCGCGAATCAGGTATTTTCCTCCTCTCAAAACCCGCTAACTAGTTATTTAAACGAGGGCGAGCTTGGTGGCCGCGATGTCGAGGGCATCCACGTCAGCAGTAAGACGGCAGTAAGCCTTCTTGGAGCCGTTGGGTCTAAGTCACGTAGTCAGTAAAACCATAACCACTACCCACTACCCAAGCAATCGTCGTCGAGCCCTCCAACAGAAAGAACTCGAAAACCGGGGTGTGGGAGAAAATGAAAATGAAACAAACGTACCGGATGAGGGTGTTGATCTTGACGGTGTCGATATCGTAGAGCTTCTTGAGGGCCTTCTTGATCTGGGCCTTGTTGGACTTGAGGTTGACGATGAAGACGAGGGTGTTGTTCTCCTCGATCTTCTTCATGGCGCTCTCCGTGTTGAGCGGGTGGACGATGATCTTGTGCTCGTCTAAGCGCGGCTCGTGTGGGATCGACTTGCGCAGGTACTTGGGCGAGCGCGCGAGGCGGACGGTCTTGGGTCGGTGGAAGGTCGTCGACGTGCGCACCTTGCGCTTCTTGTGCGAGTTGTCCTGCCAGAACAACCATTGTTAGCTTTCCAAGACGCAAAGACGTTTTTCTTTTCTTTTTTTCCCCTTTTTTTTTCTTTTTTTTAATTGGGGAGTATATCGATCTTTTATATCACATCGACACATTGAGAGTTGGTTGGTTGGTTGGTATGGTATCATTTTAACTTACACCTCGGAGGGCGGCCTTAGCAGCAGCATTGGCTTGCTTGAGACCCTTCGGCGCCTTGGAGGCACCGCCTGTATAGAAGAAAAAAACCGCATCAGCAAACGCTCTTTTTAATCAGAACTCGCAAAATCTGCTCTGCTCGATGCATCGACCGGGGGGAGAGGCGCGCTCGCGAGGAGCAGCAGCACATCACCAATTCCGACGAATAATCATCGCGTGGGAGGTTTTTGTCGGTATAAACGACTGGAGAGACTTGATCTTGTATCATGGTGGTGGTGATGATAATGTACCTTTCTTCGCAGGAACCTTGGGACCCATTGTGATTTTTGTGCTGGTGGAAGTTGGCGGTTAGTATTGACTTCGCGGTTGTCGTCTCGAGGGGAGGTTGAAAAAAAGATCGAGCGAAGTTCGAGTTGGTCGAAAATTGTTAGATTTTGCAAAATTTCGCTTAGGGTAATTTTTTGCAGTTGTGGGCCTAGGTGCTGCCCATTTTCTGGGTAAACTTCTGCGAAACCTCGGCAGGTGGGCTTACATAAGTACCTACAATGTATCTACTTGGGCTAGTCATCTAGTGCACGTGACATAAAGGGACTTCTTACAACTACACACACTGTGTTCTGTCATCAACTAGGCACGCTTGTATTAGGTATGCAATACAGTACTTTTCATATTATAAGCACTGTCCCTATACCTTTAGAACATTACACGATCTGAACTTTCTCTATCTCAATCTTTTGAATATACCGCTATATTCAGAAAATATATTATTTAAAAATTAAAAAGATAATAGCGACTGCGCTGCAATATCTATCATCTGGCCTATACCATTAACTCGCCAGTGGCCGGTATCATGGGGGTGAATAAAAAAGGCCGGGTGAAGAAAAGCTTAACCACAGGCCGGCCGCCAACGGTCCTGAAGCCGAAATCGATATCGAGAAAAGCTACCCGGACACTCATCAACTCTCACCACGTCCTAGAGAAGAAGAAAGCGCAAGCTATCGCAAAAGGCGACATAGCTGCGCAGGCTGCTATCGAAGCCGAGATCGCTGCTCTAGGCGGCCTCGAAAAATACCAGCAGGCCAGTCTTCAAGGCCAGCGCCTCGACCGCGGAGGGGATAGTTCCCGGGTCCTCATGGAATGGCTTAAGACTATGAGCCCGGGCCTTTCTGATGTTGCTTCTCCTTCTTCTGTTTCTTCTTCTACGAGAGGTGCTGGATTGAGGATGCTCGAAGTGGGTGCGTTAAGCACTGCGAACGCGTGCTCGAAGAGCGGTATCTTCGGCATGGAAAGGATCGACTTGAACAGTCAAAGCGACGGCATTTTACAGCAGGATTTCATGAAGAGGCCGCTGCCGAAGGACGACTCGGAGCGCTTCGATATCATCAGCCTTTCGTTAGTCCTGAATTTCGTCCCAGATGCTATAGGACGGGGCGAAATGCTCCTTAGAACCTTGGAGTTTTTAAAGGAGCCTGATACGCATTACTCATCTCAGCTACGTGATATTTTCCCAAGCTTGTTTATGGTTCTGCCAGCACCGGTAAGTCGATTATCCCAACATCAAAGCTATCCCCTATTTTTTTTTTCTTCCGGCCTCGCCGTCTTCTACCAGTGTATAGTTATTATTACCTAATTGATATTTGCATGTGATGTATGCAAGTAATTTATATATCTGCTTGCTATTGCTACGATAACATCTAACCAATAAATATTGCAGTGCATCACCAACTCGAGGTACATGAACGAGGCTCATATAGACTCTATCATGAATACGCTGGGATACATGAAAGTCCAGAGCAAGACAACCCAGAAACTTGTATACTACCTCTGGGTCAGGAAGTCTGCTGTCCAGTCACCTCTTCCAGCGTTCAAGAAATTGGAGCTTCGATCTGGTCACTCAAGAAATAACTTCGCCATCGTGATCCGCGGCTCATCAGGGTGACAGCCGGGTCTCTAAGTAAGACGCATGCACGCATAGCCACGCCTAATCGATCCCAACATGTCGACAAAAACTTGCGATGGTGGGTACCGTCGCCGCGTCAATCTGATAACGCTCTGGTCGCTTATTCTCTCGAAAGGGCTGCATTCTGCGGTGCGCTACCACCTTGGACCAGTGCTAGTCCTTCTTTCCGCCCCTACCCCTTACTTTATTGTCTCTCAATCTATCCAACGCGTATCCAACTCGACGCATTTCTAGCGGCAAGATAAGTAAGGAGGACACCATTTCTATCTACCTATCGAGATCATCAGTTGGTGGGCTCGTGGTGGTCCTGAACCTACCCCGCAGTTTCTATCGTTTATCTACCCGATAGGCCTGGGTCGAAAGACGTCACCACCAACGACCGCACACCATTCCGATCAGGCGACGTCCGAACCATTTATAGGGGAGACCGATTTCACGGCTTTTTGGGACGCTCCGGGTTTTACATCTAAGGAGAAAACGACCGTGATATCTGACGATCAATTGCCTGATAATTAGTGATGGAGACGCACACCTCACCCACCGCAAGGATCAATTGCTAAAGTTCACAATATGCAGCGATTCCTTCGGTCGTATGTGATTACTTGAGCTAGCGTGATATTGGGGAATATATGGGCGATCCCGGTTGAAACCTATACTGCTGTTTCTCCCGTAGTCGCTACTGTTCTACGCGGCAACTTTATCCGGAAGCTTCATTACGGCCAATGCTTCGTCGCCGAGACTATTGTTTTATGGATGTGCCATAAAAACGACGATATTAGGCCAGGAGAGCGTGTGCCTAGGTTTGGAGCATGGATAATACTATCCACAGATTCGCCGTAGTGAGGTCTGCTCCAAATGGAAGAGGGTTGTTAACTAGCAATGGACCAATGCGATTCGAAGTGACTATCAAGCTCAATGACATACGAGGGCTATTACTTCCTAAGTTACATAATTTCGGCATATCCTGGACACCCAATTGGCCGGCCGCGTCTCCTACTTGTCAAGATGGCGTCTCTGGAATGCGTTCTAGGCCTGTAGGTCGACGACAAGCTCCATTCAGGTTCTCGTAGGAGAGAGTGGTCCCTGCGTAAGCTGAGGCGGCGTCGCTTCAACTGGGGAACTAGTCACGATGGTACTAATTGACGATTCATAGAACAGACCGGAATTGCAAGCGGCAACGACGAGGGTGAGTGCCTTTCTTTACCAATACCAAATGCACACACAGACGCAACATACATACCGGATGGGTCTTGGTTCCAGTTGATGAAGACTAGACCCCGCTTTGGTCAGATGACGGACGGCCGATCGAGCAATCAAATCAAAGACGCTGTTCGTTGCCCAATGTGCACGGTTCTCTTGGTGGTTGGGAAAGCCGATTGCCTTACGAAGTAGAGAATGACGAGTCATGTAGGTAGCAGTGTCCATACGTATGAATGGTTCATTTACCCCGGATTTTTACTCTGTAACACGACAAAGAGACGATTTCCCAGCCACGATCGCCGACCTTCTTTTGCATAAATTAGACTTAGCCAGGACCGTCGTGAAACTATCCACTAGTTTATCATCACGCGTGCGCTTGCGTTGGAGATCGCTGGGGCCGCTGGGGCGCTGCGGGGTTAGGGAAGCCGGTTATGGATGAACTAAATCCAGCTTCACAAACTTGATGCTAGTTTTCATGCTAGTCTTGTGTAAACTCGCGCGTTATTGCCGGAACGATTGGAGGACTAAATGTTATAGTTATCATCGAGCTGTTACTTGCCTCCCGAACGATAAAGGGAGTTAGTTGCTTAGTACTGCCGGCTATAGGAGGGACCACCAGCGATCTATATCGTTGGAGCAACCCGTTTACAATCCCGAGACATCAACGTCCGGTGAGACCAAATGCGACACAGGCACACTTGTCTTCGATCGACTCGAAGAGATGTCGTTACTCTGTTTCAGCTCTGATTCTGTGATAGCCGGCGACTCTCTTATTAAGGAGATACAGTTCTTGGCTTACTAAAGCAGTGGTCGCGTAACTACGGTCCGCTTCAAGCTACAGCTTTGCCGGACTTTGTTTATCACGCTTGGGGAAAATAGGGAACACTTGGATCCTCTAGGAAACGATCGGTCTGCTGATTAGCCTACAAATCGTGAGCTCTTCCCCGTCGAGTCGAGTGCCGGTCGATTTGCCAATCCTTTAGACACCATCAACCGGAGGGACACAGCTCGGATTGGCCCGCTGGTCTAGCCAAGTTACACTTAGTCTTTTCCTTTTAGTCCGATTTGCTTATTCTCATCTCGACTTGTTGTAAGCGCCCCCCGATACGGGGGGCGGTATTGTGCTCGTTGGTTAGCCCTGCTGGCTCATCCCGTGCGGCCCTGTTACTTCGTGCGCACATTGAGATCATCGTCGAGGGAATCAAATGTCTCTATGACTCGTAACCGTTGTGGTACCTCGGGCGATAAAGGTGCATTTCCAGGACGTTGAACGACGATGCTCTGCATACCAGCTTGGATCGCAGCCTCCACTTCCTTAACGTTATCGCTTAGGAATAGCCATTCCGCGGGCGAAAACTCGGGATGTTGATTGGCGATTTTCTTGTAGCTGTCCGTCTCTGTCTTGAGCCCAGCATTGACGGTGTCAAACCAATCTGAGATCAGTGGTGTCAGATCGGACTGGGCGCCGTCTGTGTGGCCGAAGAACAACTTCTGTGCCGCTACAGACCCAGACGAATAGATCATTATATTAAGGCCCTTGCGTTGCCATTCTAAGAGCTTTGCGGCAACGTCCGGAAATAGGGGGGCTTTCAAGTCACCTGAAGCGTATCCCTCCGCCCATAGGTAGCCTTGGAGACTTTTAAGATAGGATATTTTTACATCCTTTTCCACAAGGTCTCTGACGTGTGCTTCTAGCGCATCCTTGGATGAAGAATATTCCGATGGAAATGCGTTCCTATACTTTGCAAAGTCTGGACTATCCCATTGGGTTTTCAATGTCTCCGGGAGAACACTTAGTGCGTAGGGAAACTAGAACTACGTATTAGTTAACGTGGTCTCCTTAATCGCAGGTTCCAGTAAGCAGTAAGCCAACGAAAGCCATCCAGCGTAGCAACGTTGCTAGTTAGCTAGATGTTGAAATACCAAGCAACATAATTCGTCATAATCGGGCAGAAATATCCCCAGACCAACTTGACCCAAGGTTACATAATAGGGATATAGTGGCCCGAGGTTGCTGTAGACGGGCGGCGCATTACATCCATTATCAGGGCAGTTGATCGCCATATTTGGTATACAGGGTCATGCTACAAGGATGGGAGGGTTGGGGGATCTGAGAATTGGAGACAAACGAGGTTTCCGAACAGAATGTCTTACCAGTACATCTTTGACAAATGAGATTGGACAAACTGTGCCCTCTAGAAGGATACGTATTAGTTAGCCAGCAACGCCCAGGCTAATGCGCCCAAAGGTCTAAACTACTAGACGAGGATAATGAAGCAAGGGCAAGGCAAGCTCAGGGCTCAGAAGCTGGTCCTTACCAATATCTAGAAGCACAACTTTCACAGGGCTGGATGGGGCCATGACGATGATTGGGACCGTGGGTCTCCCCGTTCTCTTGGAATATCGTGTTTTTTCTTCTTCTTTCCTTTCGAGATCTTAAGATCTCTCCGAAAATTTCTATCGGGCGGGGGGCGGAAACCAACACTAGTCTACCCGTCGGTATGAAGCGGTGAAGACGAAGGTGAAAAACGTGGTAATAAAAGCATAAAATAATAATTTGACGTGCAGGACAAAAATTTTTCTTCCTTTCTTGCTTCCGCTCCGTATTCAACCCCGACCGAGTATAACACCGAATAGGATAGCAGTGTTTAAGGGAAGAATAAAACCGAAAAAAAAAAATATGCCGTATGGCACACCGCGTCTTAATGCGTGTCGTTGAGAAGGCGGTCAAGAAAAAAATCGAAATGCTCGAATGGTAAGGTGGTAAAAGTTGAATAAGATGGATCCCTAGCCTTGTCCCCCAGGAACGCACTCCATATGACGCTACTGCAACCAATAAGATCTTGGTAGAGTTTAATGCAATAAAGTTATCAATGTTATCAACAGCCCCCAAAGATTCAAGCGGAGGGATTGATAAAAACACCACGATAACGAAATCTTGAAAATCTCAAGAAACCGGAAAGGGGCAGCAACGTGCTCAGCTAGTACCTACAGATACGTAATTAAGCGGGTCTTCAGCAGCGCTAAACAACATTTGAAAACACGATTGTACCTCGTATATCAGATATTGTATATGCATCTGCTGGTGGACCCAAAATCGATAAGTCGATAAGGCTAAAAACAGGATAAGCCACCTTAGCCACTTAAAATGTTAAGACCGAGGACACTATGTACTGCATCTTGTGCATCTTGTGCATCTTTGTACCTCGTGGTCGCGTCTTCTTGCATCCTCTTTGCATCCTCGCTGCATAACCTAATCGGCTACTCAGCCGGAAAACATTGGAGTCCAGCCAACCGAACTTCCAACATGCCAACCTTCCAAATACTTAATCCCCTCTCCCCAGTACGATACAAAGTAAACAAACCACCTGATTGGCATGAGTGAGAAGGCTGTGGTATTGTACGACGTGTGTCCATCCAACTGGATAACCGGTGCGGATTGGTTCCACGGCAATGTATTGTGTCATAGTAATGTATCAATAAACAAGTCTGAGACAGTAAGTTCGAACTCGACTATTTTGAGATACCTGACTATCATGTGTCCTTCGTTACTGGGTTGACTATTGTCTAGCTAGGAAAGTCCCATCACCAATTTGGTATTATTCGTTCTAGTGCCCTACATGCTTGATGACTTACTAGTATTGACTGACACCTTGTCATTCACGCTCGCAGCAAAAACCTCATGCACGAAGGGCACTCACTCCAAGACATACACACTTGGGAGGGTCAACTAACCGCGCGATGATGCATCTCTTAGCCATCCCTCAGCTCTCAGCCACGGCGTTTGTGGACATGGTTCCACCTCTAACTAACCGTGAACAGCGGACACGATTACACTACACTACATAGGTACCTAGTATCTAACAGATAGTAACAACTCAGTCAGGTCCGTCTAATAGGTAAGATATCTAATAGATATCTAAAATGATGTTATATCATATCACTCAACCGCCAAGTAGTTCCGTCAACTTATCTAGGTATTTTTGAGTCCTAATGGCCTAGCAATATAATATCTAGCGCTGTAAATCTGCCCATCGTCTGTCCATTCCCCGGTCTTCACCGCCGGATCGGCTGTATATGTATGTGTGTTCTGTTATTCAACCACGTTTCGCCTGTTGTATTGTAACAGATCGAATGTGTTTCGGGCAGCGTGTGCTGTTGCTGGGTATGCTGGGTATGCTGGGTTCCCCTCCCATCTACTATGTATCCCTCACGCAAATCCCAGCGATCTTTATTAAAGCAAAGCGTTCGATCCGATAAGCGGGGGTTCGTAACGCATTACCTTGAGGCCGTTTGCGGCAAAAAAGAGTCATGTTTTATTTGGGAGGATGCTTTTTTCGGACGAGATCCGAATACTAAGGTATTTTGGGCTTGAAACCGTCAAATGCCATCTTTTCTTTGCGTTGTCAGGTTATGCATGACGACGGCATCTCGGCCACATCGGAAAGGGTAGGAAGACGCTACTGTTTCCGGTCTCTTATGAAGACTACCTAGGCAGGTATCTAAGTTAAGATATTGTACAACTACATAGAAAATGTAGGTGTTGGGTACACATCCATACTAATTACCACCTGGTACCTAGGTAGGTACCTAAGGTTAGTAGAGTCGGGCATACGAATGTGTACGAGAAGAACTTACCGTACTATGTAAGACTCTGCCGTTTTAAGGTCACACGACAGAGATCCGTCCTAAGTTTTCGGGTCTTGGGAACACAATTGTGCTAACTGTCAGACAGTCGCACCCACCACTGGACCACTGTGGAATGTCTTCTTCTTCCAGGCTTGCCGAAAAAAGGGGGCGAGGCGATCAGTCATCCTGCCCTCGTTATTGCATCATGCTCAATTGAGCTCGAGCTTGTCAAATAGCTTTTTTTTTTTTTTTTTTTTAATGCACACGCTACTGTGTAGTTTAGGTAGTGTATCCCCCCCCACAAATCGCGATATCTGCTCTCGTGCGTAGGATTGAATTATACATTCAGTCGCTTTAAGAGGAAATATGATGCCAGCTCGCATTAGAACGGTATCAATTAAAGTCCGACTAGGATTGCCCCAGATTCACTCGGCAAATACCAAGAGAACCAAGTGAACCAAGGAGGGCCCAACAATTCGGGGGGTCGCGATAACGCTTCTGGCGCCGGACGCCGGTAGGGTGCCATCCAATGATCGGGTAACTAACCAATGAAATGAATTGGCAACTCTCTATCGTCTAAATACATACCTACCTTAGGTAGGTACGTAGTAGCATACTGTTCTATCGTTTACAAGCAGCAGCGGAGACTCGATTTAATGGCTACGAAGGCATTTTGAGCTGCTTGAGTTTTCGCGCTCGTCAAACCTTAGGTACCTACCTACATAGTCCTGCCGGCTACGATTCCTCGTCTGAAACGAAAGAATCAACTTTCTTTTAATATGTGTTTCTCTTCTATGCATGTACGTGCGACGCTACGGCCGACTTGGAAGTTGGCGAGCGCCGGTACCTGATTTAAACTCGTTGGCCTTCCTTAAATGCGCGAACCCGACAATGAAGGTGGTGTCGTGCAGCAATTGAAATTACACAAAGGCGGTCAAGTTGGAGCAAAAAGAAACAGATGAAGAAGAGAGAGACAAGAAAATAATAATAATAATATAAGTCTTTTGAACTAGAATTAGAAGTCTGAATAGTCAAAACTTGGAAGTCAAGTAAATACCTTACCATAGTAAGTAGGTAGTTACTAGTCATAAATATTCAAATATAGATATTCATAGTAACCGAATATAATGCAAAGATGCATTGCCCATAAACTTAAGTGATGCAGGCAGAAAGGAGTGCATAACCTTTCAACCAATAAGTAAGCAACCTGTCCAGCCTGTCTTCTAGGTGAAACCGAATATGCTGGAAGACCTGACACGCAGTTCATTGGCTGTCATCATAGGATGACCGTGGGGTCTTTGTAGCAACGTGTTCAAAGTTCTCCCTTTTTTGCCTTTGTGCCTGGAAATCATCAGCAGGCCAGCAGACCCTTCAAAAATGCTGTTCGACAGCTTTTTAACGAAGTACCTTGTTCAAGATACCTTGTTCAAGATATAAAGTGTACATGTAGATCTCTCCAACTGGGAAGGAGGGGTACATGGCTGATTGGTTTCTTTATTCCCTGCTGTCAGCGCTTTTGCAGTGAAGATCTGTTATTGGGGTACTCAGCTTTTAGGTAGATGGCGGTGTGGCGATCCTGAGCTGGGGGGTTCCTAAGAGGTGGTGATCTTATTAGAACTACTGTATACGGTGCACCCGCTAGCGATATTCCTACTGGAGTCCGTGCCTGTCCTCGTGGCCCATGATTCGATGAGGTTCGAGTAGAGCTTGGGAGATTAGGTGATTGAAAGATTACATTACTGTCCCCAATTCAATTTCTCATCAGGAACACTAGGTACCTTACCAGAGCACTAGACTACTACAAGACTGCTCAGTGCAATTTATACTGTGAACAAGTGTACGGTCCAGCCGAATTTCAGAATCGCGTCTGACGAAACAGCTATGTCGGTACCTAATGCACCCCAAATTTTTACACGGGAGTTCCACCATCAGGGTCCTGTTTAGGGACGTACCTTGCTATCTGATGGCGTGGCACGCTGATAAAATTATCCAAAATTATCCAGTGTTCCTATCGTCATTGCCTTCCATTGCTTACTGCTTCTACCACATTAGTACTGTAATTACCTAATGTAATTCGAAACCTAAAGAAACACTTATGCAGCTATTGAGAGCTAAACTACCCCTGTGAAGTATATATACATCATAGCTTATACAAAATTGCTGAGATGATTATGTATTGTATATAGACAAAGAACCTGGCAGTTGTTGCCCGTTGTTTCCTTGCTTGCTCTTTTGTGGTAGGTTCCCCCTTGTTCTTTTAATCCCCCTGGTCACGAACTATGTACATACGTACATAAATCTCCACCAGGCGCAGCACAAGTATACCTTTTTCGCTATGCATTCACGCCATCCATTCTGCCATTGACTGCCTGCATGGCTCCATGGTCGTCCCACCACCCAAAAATGGTCCAGCCCATGTAGGTAGCAGGGTAGGTAGGTATGTATGTTATGTATGTATGTACGTATCTCCCCAGTGAAAAGGTCCAATGAGGGTCAAGCCATATCCACCTCCACAAGAGAAGAGCCAAATTTCGTTGTGCCAATCTCCCCCTTCTGGTTAATAGTCATACAAGGCTTTGCTAGGTATTGTTCTATTCTCTCTTCCAATTCTCATTCTCCATCCCATCTATTTCCTACCGCTTCTTCTTTTTACCGATCGTCCTTCAACGTTTTACTTACTCATCTCTCTATCTTAATCTTCGTTCCGTCGCTCTCTATCCCCTTCTCTCTTATCCACTCAAGCTGTTGATTCCCTGCTTCCGTTTTTCCCAATAAGTGTCAACCAAAGTAACCAACGTAACGAGAGAAAGGGATCTGGATCTTAGCTTCCTATTTCCTATCCCCTCAATTACCCAGTATCATAATTAATAGAAAGCTCTCTTTCCTTTAAGAGTGACTATTCTGGTCTCCTTCATAACTCTTGCTCCTCTTTCCACTCGATCCCCCCCCTAATCGGTCACGACATCTCTCCGCATACCTGATCTGATCCATTCAAACCCGGCCAGCGGTCTTTGTTCCAGTCGAGCCAGTTAATAACAATAAACGACTGACCAAAAAAAGAAAAGAAAAAAAGGAAAAAAAAAGGACGATAAACAATAACCCGGCGCCTCAATTCTTCTCAACTCTATCATCTCTTCCAACCACCAAAGTCCGGATACTAGACTTGTTGATAGCGCCGTTCACCACGTCACACCCGTTCTTGACTCGTAATTTGATTGCCTGGATCCGCACTGAACCGAACCAGGTCCACCTTGCAACAACGACCATTGCTAAACCCACACTTGTTGAACAAGGTCACGAGGAGTCATAACATCATTCCCTAATTAGTGAACTATCGAGCTGAGTTAGCGGGAGTCGATTGCCGTGAAGCTCTTATTTTGGTACGCCCTACATAACCACCAGTATCCCATTTTGTCAGCTCCGATCTCGTGGCCGACCAGTCATTGATAGACTTGGTCATTAAAAAGGAGCCACATTCGCAAAATATCTATCATCCCGCCACATCCTTCAATATCACGACCGTCCTATCTCGAATTGCCATCCAGCTTCCAGCTTAGATGCTATTTAGAGCCAAGGAGTAGTTCACCTGCTCGATAAATCCTTAGGACGCACGCCGCCTTCGGACAACAAGTTGCTTCGATCGATTCGTTGACTCACAGCTCCACCAATATAACAGCAACAGCAACGCAAGATTCAAAAACTCGTTTCCCAAGCTCCGCCAAACCCGAAGCTTGTGACAACAAACACAACCACACTCTTTCAAGATTGAGACTATCGTATCGATGTCCTTATAACGAACTTTTCCTTTCACTCTTTCAGGACCAAAGGTCCACTACCATTCACGATTATTTCGCTTGCTTTCATTTGTCCAACAATTTTCACATACCCTGGATGAGCCTCTGACCTATTGACGACCTGGAGTTATTTGTTTTCTTTTTCTCGTAACAGGCATCTTGTATATCGCTTCCCTACTCTCTCGACTTAACTCACCTCTTTCTTGGATCGAATTGGCAACCTTTTTACTTTCATCTATCGACTTGTTGTTACCTTTCTCGCTCCCCGGCAGCTCTAGCCCCCTCTCTGTACAAGCACTCAACATAAGTTTCTCATCAATTTTCTTCGAGCATTCCGATACCCCTTTTCTCCCTTTCCAAATAGACATTAGGTAAGGGAGGGAAAAGAACTAAACAGTTTTGTACGATCATCCGTGGTTACATACGGGTTTACTTCCATCTCAACTCGAATATTTGTCTCACGTCGAGACAACGGTCATGGAATGCTTGAGAAACAAGTTTCAAAATGGCGTTGTGCTCGACGGGAGGTTTGAAACCATCTCCCCTCTTAATCATGGATCGTTTGGCATGGTCTTCACGGCAAAGGACTTGCAAACCAATAACCTCGTTGCCATCAAGTGCTTGACTAAGAAGGCGGCTGCCGACGAGGCCGGGATCGAATTCGCAGTCGACGAGAGATCCGAGGAGCTGCTTAGCCACCGCAGACTAGGAGCCCATCCCAACATCGTCAACCTGATCCACTCGTTCGAGACCGATGCCCACGTGTACCTTGTCCTCGAATACTGCTCGCGTGGTGATCTCTACGAGGCCATTCGTAACGGATCCGGTCCCCTAGAGACGGAGCATGTTCGTCAGTTCATGATTGAGCTTGTCGACGCCGTTTCGTACATGCACTCGAAGGGGATCTACCACCGAGACATCAAACCCGAGAACATCTTCCTTACCGAATCGGGTTCGATGAAGCTTGGCGATTTTGGGTTGGCTACCACGGACCGATGGAGCTACGAGAGCACGGTCGGGAGCGATAGATACATGTCGCCTGAGCAATATGACTCGGCCGGAGCTGGATACTCGCCGGCCCAGGCTGACATCTGGGCGATCGGTATCTGTCTCCTAAACATTCTCTTTTCTCGAAATCCCTTCACCACCCCGACCGAGGCTGACCCCTTGTTCCTGGATTTCTCGCGTGACAAGCAATCTCTCTTCGATGTCTTCCCTACCATGTCTCAGGATACGTATGAAGTCATCGTACACTGCATGAATCTAGATCCTCAGAAGCGATCCCTGGTTGCTGCTAAGAGCGCTCTTCGCCGCGTTGTTAGCTTCACCACCCTGGAGGAGGCCCTGGATGACTTCTGCACAACCGAACGCTCGACTGTCGCCACCGCCAACCGCGAGCCGCTCCGGACCCCTTCCATTCAGAGTCCTCAGATGGACCAGGGCGCCTTCCCGTGGGCCAAGGCTTTGCACGCAACCCAACCCCAGGCTATCCGTCAACTCAGTGCTATTCCCGACGACGAGAGTTATTCGGAGGATTTGTTTTCCAAGTCAGCAGCTACCACGGACTGGATGTCTGGTACCGCTCTGACGCCTTCGATCTCGTCGGTTCTAACTTCGAATCTCGCAGCATCCATGAATTCGCTCAATGTGTCTCGACCCATGGATGTCCCCGCGCGCACTGTTGCCAGGGTGTCTCCGACGGCTGGTTCGTTACCCATTACCATGTCGAAGCCTAGGCCCATTCTTAACGCTATTTCGATGGTGTTTGGTCGGCAGAAAGATGGCGTCTCCAAGAGCTGGAGCGACATGTGGGATGAGGACGTGGAGGAGGACGAAGAGGAGCGCGCCCGTCAACTACAAGCGCTCAAGGAGCTTAACTCCAGGACCTGGAGTCAGGAGAGCAAGGAGGCTACTAGGACTCCGCGGCAGGATCAGGTATCCTCGCACCAGGCGCCAGCGTCTGATAATGAGAAGCCAGAGGCTTCACCTGTGAACGATACCATTTCAAATGATATAGATGGGGACCTAGTTGCGGATGGATTTTTCTTTCATGAGCCTGTTGCTGTTGTGCAGCCTCAGCATTTTCCCGCTCGTTATTCGCCTCCGTCGAAGCGTACCGGCGTCGACAAGTGGGCAATCCTCGGGGAACGCCGCCGGGCATACGCAGGAGCACGGGAGCCCAAGTCGCCGGATTACTCAACGAAATCCCGACAGTTCAATATTGGATTTAATACTCTACCAGGAGGGATGGGATTTTGGGACCACGCCAATCAACAAAGCCACAAATGGAATCGGGACCACCGCGCGACTTCACGTGAATGTCCGTGGAACAAGGGTCGAGACTGGAACTGGCGTAAGGAGAGACGCCACGATTTCGGTGACGTCGAGTGGGTTGGCCACTGGCAGGAGGCTCATTAGAGCATTTTTATTTCTTCTTTTCAAACTCCTTGCCGGTGTTGCCACTTGTAGTTGTGCTCATCTTTCCACTACCACACGGGATGTTTTTTTTGTCTGAGTCGGGATGCCGCCCTGCCTGCTGCTTTCTTTCGTTGTATCCTCTACACGCCACATGTCGTTCTTAATAATTGTTAAGTTTGGTAGTCACCTCCAGGCGCAGAGGAGACGAGGTTGTAAAAAAAAAATTAGACGACTTTTACTTTTTCCCTCGACATACACCTTTTTTTGGCTTCGGTTTTTGGTTCTCGGTTGGGATCACGGAATCACCAATCATCATTATTTTCGCAGTTTGGCAAAACAAAAAAACTCATGTTCGGCGGCAGCAAGCAACGACTTAAAAAGGCACACATTCCCTTCTCTCACAGCAGAACTTCCCGGTGGATTGATCTAGCATTAACTCGCTCTCTAGGTATTAGATATCTCCACAGATTATTGAAGAATACCAGAAGTTACCCACTCAATTATGTTTGGCCCGCTTGGTCATGGTGATTTGTATATTGTATTGTATTGTATTAGATGTGAATTGAATTCTCTCTATCTCCTTCTTGGAGGGTTTAAAAAAGAGAGGTTTGTACAATTAGTTGTGTTATTAGTATTAGCATTAGCATTAGCATTAGTATATAATCCTTGTAATAATAACAAAAAGACAAGACATGTATATAGCTTTCACGCAATGGTTGGCTTTACGAAGTAAAATCGATTGTGACATTGGATCTTAGCAAGGTAAGGTTTAACTAGATTCTTGATTGGTGACAAGTGTATACTGTCTTATAATGTCTCGATCAAAGGTATATTATATTACTCCCAGGCCATGACCTTTAATTCTCTTCGGAATTATTAGGTACCTGCCTTAGCTAAGGTTTTCTTTTAATGTTTCTAAAAAAAATATTGTCCTTGGATTACTGAGCGGATGTTTGTTTCCAGGTATTAGATCTCGTTTCCTTACTGTGACATCATAACATGCATGTACTTATACATTTACTGTTAGCGGACCATGTATAATGTATTACTTTACTTTTACAACAATAACAGTTGCAATAGCTTTTCTATCACAATTGGTAGCACAATCCGTTCTATCGTAGCCTTTTAGGTCAGTCATTTTCTCTTCTTTATTATTATATAAAAATAACCATACTAAACTAATTTACTATATAACTAATTCAATTCAAGTTACCCTCCTCCTCGAACCAGTGTTAATGTTCGCTTTGTCGAAGCAAAGCCCTTAATTCTAGTACAAGAAATACGAAATGAACCATCCACATCTACCTTAGGTACTTACCTTACACGCCCGCCCTAAAGCTATAGTTTACACCCCTCTCCCCAAGCTGGAAGGAAGCATATGTTATTTTTATTTTTTTAATTTAGAAAAAAGGAATGCACGCTTGAAAGAACGATAAGGGCATCGCTATTTTCTTAATAATGGCATTATCGCATAATAACGTATACTCCTACTTCTACTAACTATCAATAAGCCATATACAGTAGTTTAACCTTACCATTACAACACTGTCAGAGAGGTCCTGTGATATATGCCATACGTAGAGCGAATACTAGAGACAGTAGCATGTGTGTATGTAGTATAGTGTTCTATTACTATGTAGTAGGTCTATCTCCTAATACCTCCTAATACACCATAACGCCTGACAGAGTCACGTGCCCCCTGCAGTGCTCCTGTCCTCAGGAGGCGCTTGCTGTACGGGCGTGGGTGGTGCTGTGCGCGTTTGCTGCTTTCTACCTCAGTCTTTTTCACGCGCTATATCGTTTGTCGTGAACTTCGTTGTTGTTGGTCTGGTTTTTTTTTCTTTTTCGTCAGTGATGACTTTATAAGCACCTCCCCCGCTCCCTCTCCTGTAAGAGGGTTTTTTTCTTCTACTTCTCAGCTTAACCCCCATGTTTATTACTAAGTTAGCTTTATACAAGATGTCTGATCAAGAAGCTCCCCGTCATCGCCAACATGTGTGTCTGCGCTGCAGCTCCGCTGCGGCTAACTGGGAACCTGGCCAGACGCTCGTGCAATGCGTCGATCCCCCCCATGAGTTGGCTCTATCATCTCTCGCACTTCCTCTTGCTATGCCAACTAAGTGACTTAGATGCGTCTTCTAAATGTCAGCCCTGCGCCCAGATGAATAAGCCCTGCGTCACATTGACCGGCAACGCCCGTGCTGCCGCCGATAACCTCCGCAGCGCTTTGGACAGGAACCCTAACGCGCGTCCCGTATGTCTATCTCCCTTACCAGCCAGGTTTGTGCGCAGCTCCTTGCTAACACGGCCACGCCTTCAGAGCGCCGTTATCCAGGCTCAGCAGGCGATGAAGACAGCGCTCCAGGCCTTCAGAAACGAGCGCAACCTCCGCGAGGCTCGTGCCGTCGAGCAGCGCCGACGAGGCGGAAGACGACGCTTTCGCGGACACGGACACGGACACGCAGGCGACTATCAGCCAGAGCCTCGCCGACTGCGCGGCCTATCTCGGCGATATTCGCGACAGTGTCCGCCGCTTCGTTGAGTACTATATTACCGTACGTATGCTCCCCCCCCCTCGCTCGCTCGCCCCCACGCTACCCACTGCTTTGTCGTTCTGCGCTGCTAACGTCCTTGCGCAGGGCCGAGACCTCGACGCTCAGGAGTCGGATGGTTGACGATGATGATTTTCCTTGGCCGCGAACCTGGTCCTAAGGTAGCCAGCCCGGCCGCTATCGTTGTGGGGGCGGGAACGGGTGCGGGGCGGGGCGGGTATCCGAGACGGCGGAACGGGTTGATTTGATTTGATTTGAAGGAAGGGAATGAATTTGGTTTGTTCTGGAAGCCGGGGTGGGGTTTTGAGAGTGGACTTAGGTGGATAAGGTACAAAGCACATAATGTAGCTTTTTTTAGTGCAGCGCTTGTGCATAGGATAGGAGGTACCTAGGGATGGGATGGAATCGGATTGGTTAGATTGGTTTACCTTCCCAGAGGGTAGGTAAGTGGTGTCAGCCGCCCTGAAACGGCCTGATGTAACCCTGCTTATGGGTACATATGATTGGGGGAATTTGGGTACTATGTTCGGTTTATCTAGGTATCTAAAGTAAGTGCGTTTGAGTTTGGAGTTGGTATATTTTATTTGATGGTGATAAAAATAATTACTTCTGGTATTGGAAAGAAGTTCACGATAGTACCCGGGTCCGTAGTAAATTAGTATTACTTCGAGAGAAAGAAAGAGAATAAAATTGAAGACTTGAAGAATATTATCACAACTGCACTGAGTTTTCTATCCAAGTCCCTACGTAACTATATGCCGCGTTACCGTAACGACCCCGTATGTAAATATTTACTTGGCTCTCATTTGGTGGTCATATATTTCATATCCTTATAAACCAGCTCTTAGTATTATACTTACTTACTTACCTAACCTACCAACTATAACTTGCGAGAATGTAAGCTTAATATAAGTAGGTATATAAAGACTACCCCAATGAGAAACTCTTTAAGTTAGAATATAATTTAGAGCCATCGTTGAATATCATTATGCTATCCATTTCAAGGCCTAAACTCTGATTTGCCTAATCTCCAATCTCCTAAATCTTCAACAAGTGAGAAATACCTAAGTAAAAGGTAAATCAACCGTTGCCTTAAAGATATGATAACGTGTACCTTGCTCCTCCCTCGCTGGGCTTGGAATAGTCTCAGTTATCCCGTCACTATGACACTGGGAAGCAGCAGTTTACGCGATAGCTTTTTAGACCTTGAGATCGCGCCTCCCCGGTATTAAAACCAAGAAGTTACGATATCTCTTCCACCCCTTCTGAAATCCACCAGTACATACCTACCTAGACCATCCAGATAGGCGCCCTCTTCAAGTCGGCCTGTCGAATCCAACTTAACTAAATACATTCATTCCCTTGCCGGCTGGATAGGAAACGACAAAAAAACGAACTTGTCTTATCGCTGCTCTTTATTGGCTATCATTGAAACAGTCAAGAAAAAAAAGACAAGAGTTAGAAATACAACTAGCTACCTTACCTAGCTAGCTAGCTAGCTTAGCTCACCCGGTACATGATATCGTCTACCACGCAAGACCACCGTCCACTAGATATTACCACCACCACCTCCGCGTAGCCACCATCGAGCTCGGGAAGCAAGAGGAAGACGACCAGTCTACGGGGAGCGAAACACCAAGGTCAACGGCGGCACTGGATTCCTTGCCCCAGCCTGTCACGCAGCCGCGGGAACCACCCGGCCGTCTACGTCGTCTTCGTCTAGCGGCGGCGGCGGCGGCGACGACGACGTTAAACGACCTACTGCCACCACTACTACTACTTCTACTACTACTACTACTACTACTACTAGAATTCATAATACCACAACTACTACAACTACGATTCATAGTACCGCAGCTGCCACTACTACGATTCATACTGCTGGTGCTGCAGTGTTGGCAGGTCTTCGTGCTGCTGCGGCGGCAGCGGGCGCTGGGCGCGGGGCCCACTTGCCGGCTGTCGCTGCCCCAGCTCGTCGTCTGCCTGTTCGTGGTCTGGTTCTGCGTCGACGCGAGCGCTCCCGCCGCCGGCTGGAGGTGGTGGGAGCCGCTCGCGGTGAGCACCGTGCTGTTGAAGATTGTGCTTCCTCGGTGAGATGAGATAGGGATGGGGATTGCTTGTGTTAGGTAGGGAAGTGGAAGTGGAAGGGCCCAGGTAGGTCGGTCGGTAGGTACCTAGGTAGGGCCTTTAAGCTTCAGGAGGGGTTGGAGGTTGGAGATTAAGGGGGGATGAGGGAGGTGGCGGAAAGAAGTGAGGTGAGTTGAGTGGGATGGAGTAGAGGAGCGAGTGTTGACAAGCACAAGACGCTTCCTACTCGGCATTTGGGTGTCTAGTTAAAAGGGGGCTACGTTGCTAATACTGCACTTTTTTTTTTGAAACGAAGGCATGGATTAGAAAATCTTGATTCTATTACAATTTTTTAGGGCGCCGTGCGGTCTAAGCCGTGTACGAGGTAGTAGTAGTAGTAGTAGTAAGCATTAACGAGGGTTATACTATTGAAGTGAGTGGAACCGAACGTCCGTAGTAAGAGAATGTTGAATAAGTCGATGTTCGAAGATAGTTGCTACGACATGTCTAGGTTGTTGATAATATTGAAAGTTTAGCAGGTTAACCACTACCATGTACATGACCGTAGTCCCGTTGTACTACTCCTTAAATGGGCATATACTAATGTATGTGTCATGATACTGTACAACTTCGAGTTAGAATCTAAAGAGGAAAAAAGAGGGGAAAGAAACAGAAATAGCCTCAACGCAGTTGATACGCTATCCAAAGCATCTCTTTAGAAGCGGCCATGTATCTTTTTATCTTTGTCCGGGGTCGATAATATCGCATCCTCAACCCTGTTGTACTCGTAATAGCTCGCTAGCCCCTGAGCGGCTGATAGCTATTTCAAGGCTGAGAAGTGCCATTGCGAGGCAACCCATGCTTTGAAGGAATGGTTCCGGTTAAAGAAAGCAAAGTGTTAACTGCAACCATAGCTTGCTTTTATTTTTTATTGATTAGCTATCTCCTATATAATGCGTTTCCTCCCATGTAGTACCCAAGTATTAGCCGTTAAACAAATTTTTGTTTCCAGCTTACCAGATACCAACAACACCTAGGACGCCCCAATAAGTTTCTTGGGTAAGAAAGCCCACACAGTCCCGATGACAGAAAGTATCAAAGATACAAGCATGATAATCCACGTAAAGATGCGCTCTCGTATAGAAATCTCATGCCCGAACAATTTCAGGTAGAAAGCTAGCGGAAGTCTGCGAATTTGTTAGCGGACCGCCGTATTTTTCAAAACCCTTCAAACACCTACGTGACACATATAGTGAAGCAGAGGGCGCTTCCCATGAACGCCATGATCCTGTCGAACGCCGGGAATAGAATAGCAATTATCAAAAACACACACAGCGTCAAAACTCGGACAAGAGCTTTTAGCACTCCCCTCGAGCGGCTGGAGAGCCCAATTAAAGGTGTTTCTTCCGCCACAGCTTGTTGTCGAAGACCGAATAAAACTTCCAGAATTGTGACGATCGGTTGGGAATTCAGAGGAATCTTGGTCAAAGGAATAATCGCGATGAAGATCACAAGGAGGACGTTTAAAGCGTTTGGATATCCCGTGGTTTCAAGAATGTTTCCCGTGATTTCGTCGCGGACTCCATCGCCAAACATGAGGAATCCCACAACGGCCACAGCCAGATCTATCACCAACTATTAATTGTTAGTTTAGTTTAGGTACTTATTTGGTTCATTGGTTAGGATGTCCAAGACTTACAGTAAAGCTAAATGTGTATACTACTGCCTATTTAAATGTTAATTAAAACCACACCGGGAAAATGATTGGATTCACATACTTCATTGAAGCGGTGTGTATGCCTCATATCACGATAAATCTAAGTCTCGATTAGCCAGTTGAACCATCGTTTTTGTTCAGAATAGGCCTACATTTGGGAAAACACTGTGTCCACCCCATGGAGACATCAGTAATCCAAATGACAAAGGCAGAGTAAGCCAGTTATCAGGGAATAGATAAGTCTTGGCAGGCTCTATTAGGGAACCAGGAGAGTGCGGTTTTATCAAACCGTCGAGGAAGACAATGATCATAACTAATACCGCTTTGTGAGCATTTTAAACACTGGGTGGCGGTAGATTCGTAAAATACTTACTGCCTAGACATGAGACCACACCAACGAAGCTGGTAACAGATAGGAGAGATAGAGGAACAAATTGCAAGGGTATGAGGATCAGAGTACAGACAATCTTCCACCCCGTCACGCTGAATGTATCTGGGAGTAAGAGCGCCAACGAGTCGGCAAAGAGCACGATAAGAGCCACACAAGCCGCAAGTAACTCCAGAGTGAAGAGCGCTGCTGTCAATATACGCGCTTTCCTCCCGAAGCAGGTGTACGCTATGTCGGAAAACGTGATTGTGCTAGGGTCGCGATTCATGCATTTTGATAGGATTTTCGCCGTCCAGCTAGTTAATGCGGCACACATAAGCAATGCAATAAGCCCACAAACCCAACCGGCATACTTCAAACCCATCGGTAAGCTCAGTAACCCGACGCCGATTAGTACGCTACGTCCATATTTAGCTATAGGTCTCTCTTGAGGGTGTGAGGTGCTCACTCACTTAGTTGCGTTCAGAACGGTTTGCGGTAGAGTTGATTGACCAGCCACAGCCAACACGAGCCTTCCTTCTTGCTCGACCTCTTTTACCAGGATTGGAGGCCGTTCGCCGTCAGGCACGTTTGCTCCTGATTCTTGCTGTTGACGCCATAGATCTGCGGCGTGCATCATGGAAGAATGACTGGCCGCCGATTGGACCGTGCCATAGTCTCGAACGGATCCGTAGCTACCAACCAGAGGAGAAGCAGCTAATTGCGGCGGCACGGAAAATATCGAATTATCGTGGGGAGAACCAGACGGTGATGCTGCTCGGTACAATTCGTGACCCAATCGTTTCCTTTCGCCTTCCGGACCGTCTATTCGTGACGAGGGCGTCCCACCTAGTCCGGGCTCATCGTGATCGACACCGTGGGGTGAAGGAGCTTCAATATCTCGCCTCGAGGGAGAAGCCCTGTGGCCGGCTTCGAAGTCGTGCCCTGCATATGGATGAGGGTCGACCGACTGAACTGGCTCTTGGTCTGGCGCAAACACGAAGATTGGCTGCTGCGGCAAGATTTCTGGGAAAGCGGCCGCTCGTTGCCAACTCCTCCCGAAAGACCTGATACTATTGACGCCGCCAATATCGGCCACCGCAGCAAGACGATTCGTTATAGAAGACCTGTAGCAAGAGTGGAATTAGTCTACGTGGTGGCAAACCCATGATAAGTATTGCCAACCTTCGTCCTGACGGGTGTTCTTCATCATGGCCGTAAGCACTCTGGTCACTTAATAATGCTTGCTCCTCAGAGCGAAAGCTGCGATTGCCGAGAGACGACGGACTGTCGCTTCGGCCGGGAGAAGCCCCGCGATGGTACTCATCCCAGGTTGTAGGCTGCCTTGCAGCCATGTCCGCCTAGGTACCTAACCTAAATGCTCAGCTTACAAGTTAAGAAATAGCCAAGAGAGGGAGAGTATTTGAGGAATTATGAGACGAAAGGGGGTAGAAGAGATCTAGCACATTAGAGACTTGACGATTAGATGATTAGCGGTTACCCTGGGGACTTAGAGAGGCGGAGGGACAACACGGACAACGCGCCAGCTCTTTTGCCTCAATATACAAAATTAAGAGCTATGAATCAAAAGATGAAGAATTTGAATTGAAGAAGAGAGAAGGGGATATTTAAGAAGAAATATTCAAGATATATACTTTTTTAGAAACATCGAAGGGATCGACGAAACCATGCACAGACATAGACCCCCCCGGACGACTATGTATGCATGCAGAGCTATCTTACTTGATAACGGTGGAGCTAGTGTGCGTAAACGAAGGGTTGTTCTGGTGTTGAAGTTATTTATTCTACGACGCTAGTACGACGACTATGCACCCTTAGCACGATACCGGGATACATATGTAGTCTGTTGAGGAGTATAGGTACTTGCCGACGCGGAGAATGGTCCCATGATTTAGCTCTTGCACCTCTTGCACCTGCCTGTGTTTAGAGGAGACCTTTTGTAACTCATACACTACCCACCTAGGTAGGTATCTGGGCTTCGGGGAAGTCGCCGCCAACCCATCCATGAACGTTTCCACCACCATGTCACATTATTGGACAATGGGGTCGAGGTGGAGTTATACGATCCCTTTTGGATTTTTAGACATGAGAGCGAGGCTGATAATGTCACACCAATTACATACAACATACATTACTTAGGACAGCATACATTAGGTACGTACCTAATTGTCTTGCAAGAAAAAAAAATTTGCTGCGTCCTGGTGATAACCGCCAAAATTTACAGAACGAAACATCGGAATCTATCGCTTCTTATCGGGCTAAAGCTATGGGAGGCGGGAAGCATTCCTGGAAACAAACAGCAGATGCTGGAAATTTCGCGCGGCACGGCACTGCACTTCACTTTACCTGCCCGGGGTACAATACATATCCCGGCTGGATAGTTTTTTTTTTCTCCAGAGACAGAGACAGAGATAAGATCGAGCGGATAGGTGACGTCATTCCATACTTTATGGGGTAGGAGGTTGGATATTGGCAGATGGAAGCTGCAGAGCATAGTCATGCGCCGCAAAGCTTTTTAAGGTTTTACTCGACCCATTGCCGCGTGTAGCGGGGTGTACCGTGATTGGCCTACCAAAAGATCGCATTGCTGACGAGAGATCGAGTGCCATAATTCATTCAGCTTGGACTTTGTAAAACCTCCCTCGAGAGACACACAAATTGCTTTCCGTCGAGTGTAATAAGTCTCCGGCGCCACCGAATGCTGAATTTGATTTAAGGACCTATTTATTACAAGGTACCTAGGTAATTATCTAACGCAAGGGGGAACTTGCAACTCAGTCGATGCATCATGCCTAGCATATGTAGGTATCTTAGAGTACCTCTTAAGTATCCAAAAGTGATGTAGGACTCATTACTTACAGCCGAGAAAGTCTCAATAAGTTAATTTGACAATCCACCATACTAAGATACATTTACTACGAAAAAAAATATCTTGGCTGAAGATAGAATGTAAGCTTATGTACTGGGGCTTTTTAGAAATTGAACATATTGTGTAATTACTTACCTAGGTAATATAGAGGCCAAGTTACGCCTTCTAAGATAACACTGCTTTCTGTCGTGTTCCAATATATAGGTACTTATATAAAGCTGAAGGTGCTGAAATTAGGTATTTGCTAGGTAAGATTTGTAATGGCGAGGAGCATATCAGTGCGACTTCTCTGCGGGGCGAGTACCTAACGCAAACAATGCATTATAAGGAGGCAAGTGCAGGTGGTGACGGTGTCACAGTATTGGTTGCCTCGAGTCCTTGAGGATGAATAGGATACTTCGGGTAGGTACCTAGATATTGCTAACACGGCGCGGGTTGAATAAAGACCTGTAACATATTATCTGCAAATCAGAGCTCCGTGCTGGAATATTCTACTATGTACTGTATCTACTATTAGAAATACAGAACAACTCCTCCCCTAAAAAAAGGGCCTGAGGGGGTTGCTCACGTATGCAGGTACAGTGCCTAATTGCCTGCTTGCGTAGTGACTTGTCTGCCTGTCGATAAGTTATCAGTTAGTAAGCCTCAGGCAAGCCGGGCAGGCAAAATCTGGCTTGTTCAACAGGTTCAACAAGTCAGGCTGTGGAAGTGATTGGAAGCTGTGGCGGCCCTAGCCTAGCCCCCCCACTTGGTCCGAGCTCCTTCCACCTCTCGTCATCACCAGCTCAAACAACTACGACCGTCAGAAACGTTCAACTCCGAACTTGATCACTTACTTCTACTTTTCCCATTTCAGATCATCTCATAACTCTTTTTTCAACTGAGAGATCACCACAATCTCTACTATTTTTTGCTGAGGATTGAGTTTTTCCTTTGCGATTTTCCCCTTTTTAAAAACTCACCCACCACCTTTCTTTTCCCGTGTGGTTCTGGTTCTGGTTCTTCACACAACAACTTCTAAACCCCCCCCAATCTCGCCCGACCTTCACCAAACACATTTTTCTTCATCCAGAAAACACCATGGCACCTGAGCCTGAACACAAGAAGAAGGTCAACTTGGCGTAAGTTTCCAAATACCAAAAATCCGAATCTTGCAAACTGGGATTTAACTAACTTTCGCTACCAGCGACGTCTCCGGCGCCGAGCCTAAAGAGGAAAATGACACCTCGACCGCCATCCTCAAAAAGAAGAAGAAGCCCAACCAGCTTATGTATGTATTACCTTGATCAACCATCTCACTGGGTATCTACTAACTATTCTACCTAGGGTTACTGATGCCGTCAACGATGACAACTCTATCATCGCACTTTCGAACAACACTATGGAACAACTCCAGCTGTTCCGTGGCGATACCGTTCTCGTCCGAGGCAAGAAGAGAAAGGACACTGTCTTGATTGTCCTTGCAGACGACGAGCTTGACGACGGCAGTGCCCGACTCAACCGAGTTGTTCGCCACAACTTGCGAGTAAAGCACGGCGATATTGTTACCATTCACCCGTGCCCTGATATCAAATATGTATGTGCCTTCTGCCTAACGGGATTCTGTTTAGGTAAGCTGTTTACTAATAAAGTTTAACAGGCTAAGAGAATTGCGGTGCTTCCCATCGCTGATACAGTTGAAGGTCTGACTGGTTCGCTCTTCGACGTATTCCTTGCCCCATACTTCCGAGAAGCCTACCGACCCGTTCGTCAAGGCGACCTATTCATCGTTCGAGGTGGTATGAGACAGGTAGAGTTCAAGGTAGTTGAGGTTGACCCTCCCGAGTACGGTATTGTTGCGCAGGATACTGTGATCCACTGCGAGGGCGAGCCCATCCAGCGTGAAGAGGAAGAAAACAACCTTAACGAAGTTGGTTACGATGACATTGGTGGCTGCCGCAAGCAGATGGCCCAGATCCGCGAGATGGTTGAACTGCCTTTGCGTCACCCTCAGCTCTTCAAGTCCATCGGTATTAAGCCGCCTCGTGGTGTTCTGCTTTACGGTCCTCCAGGTACAGGTAAAACGCTGATGGCTCGTGCTGTCGCCAATGAGACTGGTGCCTTTTTCTTCCTAATCAATGGTCCCGAAATCATGTCGAAGATGGCTGGTGAGTCGGAGTCGAATCTCCGAAAAGCCTTCGAAGAGGCGGAAAAAAACTCGCCCGCCATCATCTTCATCGATGAAATTGACTCCATCGCTCCCAAGCGAGAGAAGACAAACGGTGAGGTTGAGCGACGTGTGGTGTCTCAGCTCCTTACCCTCATGGACGGCATGAAGGCCCGTTCTAACGTTGTCGTCATGGCGGCCACCAACCGACCTAACTCGATCGATCCTGCCTTGCGACGTTTCGGTCGTTTTGATCGCGAAGTCGATATCGGTATTCCTGACCCTACCGGTCGTCTGGAGATTCTCCAGATTCACACCAAGAACATGAAACTCGGCGACGACGTCGATCTTGAGCAGATTGCAGCGGAAACTCACGGTTACGTTGGTTCTGATATTGCCGCTCTTTGCTCAGAGGCTGCTATGCAGCAAATCCGAGAGAAGATGGACCTCATCGATCTTGATGAGGACACTATCGATGCCGAAGTATTAGACTCTCTAGGTGTCACTATGGAGAACTTCCGATTCGCCTTGGGTGTGTCGAACCCGTCTGCCCTTCGCGAAGTCGCAGTTGTCGAGGTTCCCAACGTCCGCTGGGAAGATATTGGAGGTCTCGAGGAGGTTAAGCAGGACCTCAAGGAAAGCGTCCAGTACCCCGTCGACCACCCCGAAAAGTTCCTCAAATTTGGTCTTTCTCCGTCCCGTGGTGTCCTATTCTACGGACCACCTGGTACGGGTAAAACAATGTTGGCCAAGGCTGTTGCAAACGAATGTGCCGCCAACTTCATCTCAGTAAAGGGCCCCGAGCTATTGAGTATGTGGTTTGGTGAATCCGAGAGTAACATCCGAGACATCTTCGACAAGGCCCGTGCGGCTGCTCCTTGCGTCGTCTTTCTGGACGAGTTGGATTCGATTGCCAAGGCTCGTGGTGGATCTGTTGGAGACGCTGGTGGTGCCTCGGATCGTGTCGTCAACCAACTTCTCACTGGTAAGCTTTCTCACCGTCCCCATTGAAATTTGCGCTGCTAACATGACGAAACAGAAATGGATGGTATGACCTCGAAGAAGAACGTCTTCGTTATCGGAGCAACAAACAGACCTGAGCAATTAGATCCGGCCTTGTGCCGTCCGGGTCGTCTTGACTCGCTGATCTACGTGCCTTTGCCCGACGAGGCTGGCCGTCTCAGCATTCTTAAGGCTCAGCTTCGCAAGACCCCGGTGTCTTCCGATGTTGACCTGAACTATATCGCATCCAAGACGCACGGATTCTCCGGTGCTGATCTCGGATTTATCACTCAGCGTGCTGTCAAGATCGCTATCAAGGAATCTATCACTATCGACATTGAGCGACAACGTGCTCGCGAGGCTGAAGGGGCCGGCGACATGGACGTCGATGAAGATGTCGAGGACCCTGTTCCTGAGCTGACGAAACGCCACTTTGAGGAAGCTATGCAAATGGCCCGAAGATCCGTCAACGACGTTGAGATCCGCCGATATGAGGCTTTCGCGCAGCAGATGAAGAACGCCGGACCCGGCGCCTTCTTCAAATTCCCTGCTGCCAATGCTGGCGCCGGTGCAGGCTCGGGCTCCGGGGACAACTTCGGCCAGGCTGGCGACGACGATGGTCTGTACGACTAAGTTGTCAGCCATTCAGTGGTTGGACAACATTCCCCCGCACCGCCTCTGTACTCTAATTCCTTTGCTTACGATGCGGTTTAACATTAATGACAACACAGGGCAACACTAAGGATGCCAAATCTCAAGTCGATATCCCCCTGGTTGCCCGACCAAGGAATTCGTATATCTGATAGATTTGATTCCATCGGGGTGCTAGGAACGTGATGCGTCTACTTTTCTTTGCGCACTCAGAAGCATGGCTGTTTTGTCTCGTGCTAGTTTTGCAAGAGATGCTTCATCCTGATTAAGGCGAAGTAGAGTAGCTATACGTATACCGCGTTGCGGTAGGCAGCTTAGTTTATGATAGATCCACAAATTGATTTTGCATCGCCATCAATTGCGCTCTAGCTATACTCGTACTTGTGAATAATGATGTGATGATACTTTTAGGTGTTGTAATGAAACACATAGCGTAAAATAACATCGTAACTTAACGTTCCCCTCCCATGGTTACTACTTTATTCTTCACTTGAATCGTACAACTAACGACCATGTTGATAACACAGCATTCATAGCACGTTGTTCTCACAATAAGAGGTAAGTATCTACCTACCCAAGTAGGCATACGCACGAAGAGATGTCTAGTTGAGTAATAGTAAAGTAACCATTTACTACGGATCAAAACACCAAAAGAGTTGCCCCCCTCCCACCCTTCCAACGTATGCCGTACTGTTCTTCCTTCGTACACTTTTCTCTCTCTCTCTATCTTTAAAACAAAGAAAGGAGGTATGTAGGTAAAAAAAGGTACCTAAGGTATAAAAACATGAAAACCCGAGAATTTGCTAACTAACGCCGATGCTCCTATTCCTCTCTCCCTCCCTTTCCCCTTTCCCCCTTCCGCCTTTCCGGCCGCGGTTCGGATGACAGGAAAAAAGAAAAAAGAAAATGAAAATGAACATAAAGCTTTGAGAACATATAAATAAATAAGTAGGTAGGTAGGTAGGTAGGTTTACCTAAAGGAATTGGTGGTGGTGGTGGTGGTAATTGTGTAGTAGGGAGAAGAAAAATAAGAGGAAGAGGGAAAAGATGAGGGAAGAGATGAGGGAAAGTTTGTCCGTCCCTCTTTCCGATATTCCTCTCCTTCTCCTTTTCTCCTGGGATACCTAGGTAGTTATAAATCAGAGACGGATACTCCTCTTCATGGGGAGGAGTGGATGTGTATATGTGTGTATGTGTGTGTGTATGTGTATGTATGCTATAGCTCTCCCTCCCTCTCCCTTTCTCTCTCCTCTGGACTCGATACCACGCACCCTTCCCTATTACCTACCGAGACGAGACGTCAAGGGGTCATGGCATGACGGCTCGGGTTTCGGTTTCGTTATCTCTTCTTCTCCTTCTTCATCCTCCCTCAATTATTTCGCTTTTCTAGTTCTTCCTCTTCCTCTCGCTGCTGCTGCTGCTGCTGCTACTGCTGTTGCTGCAGTCGTTATTTTCTTCTCTTTCCTTTCTTTCTTGAGCTTGCTATTCTTCATCTGCTGCTGCTGCTGCTGCTTCTTCTTCACCACCATTATCATCTTCTTGTTGTTGTTATTGCTAGTAGTGTCACAGCTTCCATCATACCCTCCCCCCGCTACGCCAACGCCAACGCCAACTCTTACTTCTCCTCCTCCCCCGGGTACTACTACTCTTGCCCCGTCCCCGCCGCCGCCGGTCCCAACAACACCCGGTCCCGGCCGCTCCTAGCCGGCCGTGGACCCGTCGTCGACCTCGCAGACGCTCTCGAGGCACTCGCGCGCGACCTTGAGGACGGCGTCGACGACGGCCTGGGGGACGGCTAGACTGCCATCCGTGTTACTTGTTGTTGCTGTGGTGGTGGTGGCGGCGGTGCTATTGCCGTTGGTCTTGGTGTTCCCGTTGTTCCCATTGGTAGTGGTAGTGTTGGAATTGGTATTGGCGGTGGAAGATGTGGAGTTGTTGTTGTTGTTGTTATTGTTATTGTTATTGTTGGGGCCGTCGGTAGCCGCGGCCGTGTCGTGCCGCACGTCCTCGAGGACGCGCCGGACGAGGGCGGGGAATGTGGTCACGTCGCCGCTGCGCAGGAGGGCCAGCGCGTGCGATTGCACGGCCGAGGGCCAGTTGGAGGGGTGCGCGTTGAGCGAGTGCAGAAAGTGTTCTTGGATCCTGCGGGTGGGAAACGGGGCGAAAAGACGCCCCAACACGTTAGCGAACGACTTTCTCTCTGTCTTTCTTATCCAATTATCCAATTATCCATTCATCCGTCCATCCATACATCTCTCTATCTATCTGTATGTCTGTCTCTCTGTCCATCTGCTTTGATGGCTGTTGGTGGCGGATGCGAGATCCGGGAAACACGGGGAACAAAGTGAAGATCGGGGGAAAAGAAGTAGGGGGTGGGAACAGGGGTGGGAGACGCTGGCTTACTTATTTATGTGCCCTTCTCGTATCAGGAGCGCGTTGATCTGCGATCGCAGATCTTGGTCTTGCGTCGCGGGCGTGTATGACGCCGCCGACGCGGGGACTTTGACGGGAGTCTGCGACATCTCTCTTTCTCTTTCCCCTTTCCCTCTCTTTTGTTGATTGGTCGATCGTATCTAAGTAACCCAGCGTAGCGTAGTGCAATTAATATTGCTACGCCTTTATGTGCCGTGTGTACGTCGTTGGAAAGGTGCAAAAAACGGTCGTTTCTTTGGGTGGGTGTGGGTGTGTAGGCGGTTTCCCGTTTCCCCTTTGATGCGGCCAGTTCCGGAAGAACAAGGATAGATACGAGGCAGAGAAGAATGGTCAGTATACCAATTGAGGAAAATAGATAGAATAAGAATTGTATTGTATGTTGCTGAAACTTCGCTCGGGTGGTCAATGCCTAATACGAGGGATTCCCGAAGCTTTGTGGCGGCTCTTTTTTTTCGGTGGGAGGGACCGAGAGGGAAGCTTCAAGGCGCTTGGGTGCGGCGTAACGGGGCGCAAGCTTAGGGATCAGGATATTAGTCCGTTCCTTTATTGTCGGGACTTTCTCCGACAAGACCAACGAAATTATAGCCGTACCGTTGGAGGGATTTCGTCGTAGAAAGTGGATTGATAGATAACCTGGTGGAAATTGGAAATTGAAAGGTCGATGGCGATGGCGAGGCTGACAATTATCCCGAAACTTTCACTTTGCTTGGGCAAGGCTGCGAAATAGCTTCGGAATAAGTGGATAACTCTGTACCCTCTAAATAGTAACTCTAAAAGGTGAACTAACTGAATTCTGTGGGGCGCTAGACCGATTTGCCAAGGATCCCGTTGTAGGTACGGTAGGTACTAGGTACCTATATAAGCCGGGGTAAAGACTCCATATCGATTGGTCGCTTTGTTCTAAAAAGTGGCCATCTTAAGCTACATGTAGAATTGCCTGGGAGCCTCCTCCACTGTCCAGTATCCAAATTAGATCTCTAATACCTAAACTTGATACATCATAACCTCGGTTATAGCTATCTAAGGCTTCAAGCTCTAAAAATTTGTTAAAATCATAAATCCCCCAAGAATTAAAAATCTAATTACCCGTTATAGTTTCTCAAGCATCCAAGTAACTACCGACTTTTCATGTGCCCTTGCCCATCTATTATAACCTAGGTCCCAGATACCGTAGGTGGTAAAGTACAGCTCCAACTCCAGCTCATATATTATATACTAACTTGACATAATGCGGCTGTTGGTTCCTATCCAAATTTGTAAACAACCTAGTACCTACCTGGTACCTTACTAGTAATACCTAATTGAGGGCAGATTTGGTTGATCTCAGTACCTGTCTGCCACCGTAAGACCTGATCGATATATACCTAGGTATATCGCTAACCCTTGTTGAAGACGGCTTACGCGCCCAGATCGCTCGATTTGGAACTCTCAAAGCGATAAATAAGATCAATCTGTAAGCTCTGCCAAACCCAAGCGAGCCTATCCTTCCCCTCTTCAGGCTGGCCCGATCTTGTGAATGACCAGACGATTTGTCCGTAAAATTATATCTACGCGCGGTTTCCGAATCAAGAATATGTACGTATTTGGAAGTGATGAAATAGGTAAGGTGAGCGAGCGCAGGCGGCGCGGACGGCGCTTAATCCAAAGACCATTCTTGTCCTTGTCATTTTTTCGGTGACTTCGACCTCAAGTATCAGCCATGTATTCAAAAAGGATATCTCAGAAAATTCTCTCAACTGCATGCGAAACCGACCTTGCGTTTAGCGCCGTAGCGCCCAACGCCGTTGCGACCTTGTAGAATACACTCGGGTGCGAATTCACCGATATCGTGGCATGCTGGCTTATTCGAGTCATGTACTGCGATGAGTAAACCCTATAGGAAAAACTCATATCCACCATTCTGCTTTAACCTCAAATCCCGAAAGCCTTAGGTCAAATTAGGTCGCCGTTCAGGCCGAAGTCTGTAAACTTTGAAATGAACATGTCGCAATTACTCACAAATTACTCATGACCGATTCGACTTCGTTGGCACCGAGGCAGCGAATGCTTCTAGGGCATGGCCTCGATTTTGAGTTGGCTGGATAGCATTCTACACCGACTATTACTTGCGTTGTCTACTATACGATGCAGTGTACAGTGGACAGGTCATTGTATTTGGTTCGGTGTATAAGCAGCAAATCAGAGCGGGCCGGATCAGCCGCGAGTTCGATGCTATTCGCTAATCTTACTCCGGGTAGCTTTCTCGTCGTGGCCACGCTAAGGGGGTGCATGGGGAAGCTCAAATGACCGATTCTCTGCCGCGTTGGGCTCTATCCCCGTAAAATGATATGTGATCTAGCATATCTTCCCATCCTAGTCAACATGACGATTTTGTGATGCGCGCCATCGACGACGCGCCGGTAGATGACCGACATCAATACTGTAAAAGTCGGTCTGGAAGAAGGACGTTCTGAGCAATTGCGGTTACAGTTGTATATTGGGTCCTCTAGGATATCTCGAAGACGATTGGCCGTCTAGATAGGCTTCTCGCAGCGCCCGTCGCTTGCTGTGATCTGCGCTAAACCCCCTAGTGTATCCATTCTACTCTTGTCACGACAAGCGTTTCTAAGTATAATGGCCTTCCTATCTAAGACACGCATAGGCCTGAGGAACTCGACATACCTTATTACTGCTGTCTCGTCAGACTGGGGCCGCTTACTCTCGCCGCTGAGAGGTTCATAGACCGTCTCGTCTCGCCTTTTGCCCTGCATGGCCCTCTTCCTTTTGGGAACTCACTCCGACGCACTGGAAGAATAGCCAACTGTCCGATGTCACTAAATTGACGTCTGTTTTAAAAGGCTACATACGGACTAGAATACCGGCTAATCGCGCCTAGCAGCAGCGACCTCGACTCCGGTCCACCTTTATTACGGGGTCTGGTCGTTAGGCCCGTCTAATGTGTCTACCTAGTATGGTGAACAATTGCGAACTGACCCCGAAGTATCTTCCAGGTACCAACTTGGTACGTATCGCTGTCATCCGTCGGGATTAGGACCTTAGATAGGTAGTCGATACACATGCGCCTGTGGCCTTCGACATTATCGTATTTTGTTCTTGTGATTCTCGCTCGACGCAAACGCGGCCCGGGTAACTGCGTAGACTTGAGTTGGGATTTGACCTGCTGAAGTAGTTCAGATGTGAAGGGCCATCTCAAGTCGTCCCATTGCCTTAAGAAGCTTCAGTTTGATAGGCAAACGCGGAACATATGATCAGATAGTGTCGAATTGTCATATCATAAGATGCCGGGCCTAGGTAGGATATTGTTATTCCAAGTAGCACAACTCGTACAACGAGCGGGACCAGGGGGACCCGATCTGTCACGCGCAGCCGCCCTCGAATCTGACAGCGAAAGCACGATTGGGTGCTGCAGGCATATGGCCAGTTATATGCGGAGGTGGCGTCTCCAGGTTCTAAGTAGTGGTAAGCGTTGTCGGATAGGGGTATCGTGTCAGCTCCTTAAAAAGGTCTCAAGTACTGGAACGCTGACAAGACCGATCCAGCAACAGTAGTGTCCCCCCACGATTATATTACCCGATCTTAGCGTGGCAGATGCCCCCGCGTCAGGTTGTCGTCTTCTGAGCTCCTGAGTGGACTGGGCCAGATGCAAAATGCATGGCCCAGGGTCTTACCCAAGATCTGGGGGGTTGCAATATGCAAGCATTGGTATGGATGTGGCGCCGGCTGGTCCCGGATTGCAGGGGATTCTGGCTAGGGGGCTCCCGGGGGTGATGACCAGCCAAGGCCGCATAGGAGGCTACCAGGTTGCCGGGAAATCGAGAAATAGACTTAGTAGTGCGGCCCGCATCTGCAACAGGCTCAATGAGGAAGTAGAGACGTCAGGACCGTTAGGGGGAAGAGGGGGGTGACAAAGAGCTAGTTTAGCTGCGTCTAACTGCGGTACTTCTACCTGGGCCGAGAGGAGCGAGGAGCGAGGAGCCGGAATATCAATCGTTGGTTAGTACGAGGGGGGGAAAGTGTTTAACTTTATGTTCATACTTATTATCAAACATTTACTGTAGGTTAGGTAGAAATGGCAGCTAGTCGGCTTATTGTTTTAATACATTACTTTGGATAGGTTGGTTAGGTGGTCTTAATATAGGTACCTAAGCAAGATATTGTAGTGAAAGATAGGTTAGGTACCTGTGGTCATAATAATAAAAATAATAATAATTTAGTCCGTCTTTAAGGGATGTGTGACTGTGGTAACTACAGATTGAATATCAACGCTTATGTTGTAGGTTGTTCGTGCTTTGTGGAGAATTCGTGCGAGTATACCTACCTCCGGTATACCTTAGGTAGGTATCTAAGGTAGATGGTGTAGATGGTGTAAGCAAAGTCTATTAGGAAGCTACGAGGTAGGTCTTTGATGGAATCAGGCAAGTCCAGTTCAGCATTGAAGCTTCTCCGCGTTTTTTCAAAGGAGTGCATGGAAGGTTAGGTAGGTACCTGTAACACTTCACGCCGAGAGCTGCATATCCCTTAATATTATGTAATATGTATGTAGGGTAGTATAAGGTAGGTAGGTAGGTAGATAGCTCTTGCTCATATAAGTGCTAGGGTGACTCTTCCTGCTCTGTACTTTTTAATATTGTCATCAGCATCCTCCAATGAGCATCCTAGCCGACTCTCTCACCGGTCAATATACCGGTTTGCCACACAGGCAGCCGACATGTCTAATAGGTAAGTGCTTTCCTAGCCGAGGCAGATGTTACCATGTACTTTGGATGATAATTCAAAGCAGGTGCTAGGTATCACGCGTAACAGACGGCAGTGGCCCGTTAGCACACCTATATACTCCAAACGTAACGAATCGTGCCAAGCTATAGTGTACCTATCCGTTACTTGACATTTATAACCTTGGGTTAGCTTCTGTAGGACTGCCGCGTATCAAACAGATATCAACAACGTACCTCGGATAAAATACTTACATGTAGGCACTATGCATACCTACCTACCTAAGTACCTAACCTATAGTCCTAGACATACATCCCCCTATACATTAAGCATATGCAGTATGTGCAGTATGTGCATGCAGGGAATGAATCGCGTGAGGCAATAAACGAACAACTGCACCCCTGAATGTCACTTGGGGAAGGACGTTGGCTAATTTCTATGTAATTAATTAACCTGGTTTCTAAGCTGACATACCAGCTGACATCCTGATCCCCTTCTATCTGTACGATTCTCACTTCCCCGTGCTGCAAGCATCTATACCCGACACCCCTTAAGCATGTGTTGGAGAACGTTGGGGGTTGAAGGGGTTAGAGATCAGCCGTGGCGGCGTCGAACATCTGC